GCAGAAGATGAGCTTCTTCACTGCCATCAACCACAGGTGGAGTCTCCAGGCAATGCCCAGATGTTGTCTCCTCATTGCCTGGTTAGTGCATACTTGCTTGTAGCTGGGCCTAATTAAAGGGCCAGGTGCCAGCAAGTGTGGCAAATGGTTCTACGCTTCGGTTTCCACCTCAGTTGTATGCATCAACTTTTTAATAATATAGTTCTTTATTGAAAGTTTTTTTTCTTCTAAAATGTGAATAGACAGAGGAAGGAACTCCTGTCCCCCTCAGTACAACCCCAAACAAACAACACTATTCACCCACCTCACAGAGTAAAAGGAAGACCAGGTTGGGGGGGAAACATCAAAAATCACCCTCAATTTAAGTGGATATAGTATTATCAAGATCTTAGCATCGTGCACAGGTAATCAAAGAGAAAGAAAGTACATTCCTTTTGTTACGTTGAACAGAAATTGGAGACCCCAGTGGACCCAAGACAAAGTCTGTTTCCATTACCTAGAGCTCCCCATAATAGCCCTACTGACTTATGTAGTGCTGGAAACAGCTCTGCTGTGCTCCTGTATGTAAGTGTATTCAATAAAAAGGAACCATATGGTTGCAAATTGATCTCTCTCTATTTGCCCCCTAATAACTTGCCATTTATGCGAAAGCTTTTCTAACAGGGCTATATGCCAAATCTTAACAATACCAATCGTCTACATCAGTGCACTTAAAACCATTCCAGAGCTTTGCTATTGTCGCACTAGCTGCAAATAAAAGGTGAATAATTAACTCCTGATTTGCTAGGCCCCTCTTTGGACTATCAAACAAATTCAGCATCTGTTGTATGCATTTGCCAAAGGTTATTAATTCAAGACACAATTCTGAATTTGGATGGTGGCGGAAGAGAGCTTAAGAGCCTTTCAGTTTGCACATTCAAGAACTAAAGCTGCCATTTTTAGCTATATATTCTGGTAATGTTTTGCTGGGTTTAGCTTTGTAAGTAGCAAATGCTTTCAAATTCAATTAATTAAAGTTTGAGAGAGACAGAGAGAGAGGGTTGTTTTTAAACAGCACCCTATAGCCCTTAAATTTAAAACAGAATATTTAGGTAAAAAAAAAAAGGCTGCTAATGGTATGCATTTTTTAAATTCAGGCAACATTGCTGCTTATTCATACGAGTCTTCAGGGCCAACCTGAGTCAACCTGAGCCTTGAGTGAAGGATAAGATGGCGCCACATCTCCCCAGTCCCATCTGCAGAAGTTTGCAAGGCAGGCCATTCAAACCTTGTTTCAGCACTGATGATGGAACAGCATCCCCTTAAGGCTGTTTTAGAGGGCTCAGGACAGGCTTCTTGGCCTACACTGCTCTCTCATCCCAACAACTTGCTGCTACTTCCCAGCATCTGCTGCCTTAGGTGGCATTTGCCCCCTGTCTAATGGCAGGGCTGGCGCTGCTAGTATTGTATACTTTGTCTCAGTTTGCTGCAATGCGTCACAGTGGATGTTCTTTACAAAATGTTTCAAATTATAAACATATTCTAAGATTAAAAATTTTCCCTCCAACTTTCCCGGCAGTTCAGTATTTGTTGGGGGGGGAGGGGAAGAAAGACTGGGGCGAGATACCGCATTTTTCGCTCTATAAGACGCACCCAACCATAAGACGCACCTAGTTTTTAGAGGAGGAAAACAAGAAACAAGAAAGCAACACAAAGCCTCTTGAGCAAAGAGGCAGGAACGCTCCGGCTGTGCTCAAGAGGCTTTGTGTGGCTATCCCCGAAGCCAGAAGAGCAAGAGGGATCACTGTGCACTGATCCCTCTTGCTCTTCTGGCTTCAGCGATAGCTGCACAGCCTGCATTCGCTCCACAAGACGCACACACATTTTGCCTTACTTTTTAGGAGGGAAAAAGTGTGACTTATAGAGCGAAAAATACGGTAAGTGGGAAATACTGTCATACCTCATGTTACAGCTGCTTCAGGTTGCGGACGGCGGGAAACCCGGAAGTACCGGAACGGGTTACTACTGAGTTTTGCCGCATGCACAGAAGCGCCAGATCGCACCGGTGTCTGCACAGACGCGGCACTTCAGGATGTGAACGCTGCAGGTTGCAAATGTGCCTCCGTCATAGATTACGTCCGCAACCCGAGGTTCCACTGTATAAATTGTTTGTGTGTCTCTTTGTGGAACATGAATGGGAATACAGTGGTACCTCGGGTTACAAACACTTTGGGTTACAGACTCCGCTAAACTGGAAATAGTACCTCGGGTTAAGAACTTTACCTCAGGATAAGATACAGAAATCGTGTGCTGGTGGCACGGCAGCAGCGAGAGGCCCCATTAGCTAAAGTGGTGCTTCAGGTTAAGAACAGTTTCAGGTTACGAACGGACCTCCGGAACGAATTAAGTTCGTAACCAGAGGTACCACTGTATTGAAAAAGAATATGAACCTACCCAGTGATGAAAAAATTTCCATCATGGTCTCACACTAAGATGCCAGGACTCCATCCTTTCATGCTAACATGAACCACTTCTCTAGAAGACTTCCAGAAAATCCCCCATTTCTACAAGTTATTTTTTAATAATTGCCCTTCTAGCAAATGTTTTTAATAATAGATATTAAGTCTGACAGGAAATCATTAGGAGGAAATTTGGTTTTTAACTTTTTTTTTAATTACTGCAGTTAGTTTAGAACTTGGTCCAGTTAGAGGTGGGTAGAAAAAGAGGACTGCACTCATTCACAAATTCACAGAGAGTGTGCTACTCAGTCTGTTAGTGGCAGGCGTTTTTAGAAAGCGTTTTGTAATATGATCTGTTAATGAGCACTTTAGATTCTTTCCCCCCTGTTGAAGACCTTATGATACTCAAAACATGCTAGGATAATTTTTTTTATCACATTTTCATGTGAAACAAACACTCTTGCATCTTTTGTGATTTCCACTATGTTTAAAATTTAGATTGATTAAAATACCATTATTGTAAAACATGCTAGCTGTCATTTTCAAAGCAAAATAACTGAGTTTGCCTGCTACCCGGTGTTTGCACTCTACCATTCTCAACCTTGGTGTCCTCCAGATACTTTGAACTACAACTCCCATCATTCCTGACCATTGGCCATGCTGGCTGTGGTTGCACCTCTGCTTTCTACCTTACCTGTTGGTTTTGAGTTAACAAGTGTATGACCATTTGAGTATGGCTTTTTTTGCACATGCTGTTAGGTGCTAGTTTTCCATGTTCTCAGTTGATAAGGACAAACAGGATAGAGTAATTAACCTACTGTCTGCTACAATTAATAACTTTTTTGTTTCATTGATTTCAGGAGGACTGTTAAGTGTTCTCCCTTTGAAATTGATTGGACTGAAAAGTGCTTAACTGTGGCATAGTGAGTTTTGGTGTCTAATTCTTGAACCGTTACAGCAACAATATTTTCATTAACATTGATTATTATCATCATTGCTATTTTATTTAAACATGGCATTATTCCTGAAGGTCTCAGGACTACTTTCCTAGTAACCATATATTTAAAACATACTTCAATAATAACTAACATTTATCACAGTAAATTCCACCCCCATGCAATCTCCTGCCAGAAAATTTATCACAAGCAACCGCCATTACACAGTAAGTAGATTAAAAAAAACACATCGGCATTAAATTCTCAAATTTCAATAGCCAATTTGGTTGTGCAGGAATTACAGTGCATCTTGGTTCCTTATTTTATTTGATTATATATGTTCCCTTTAGCTAGCTATCTGGATATGCAGGACCACAGAAAAGAAAAATGTTTTTTCAAATGCCAGGCAAGAGTCTTGTCAAAAATACAAGCTACTTTCTAATAGTAATTTCTTTTGGGAAGACATATCGGGCACATCAAATATATGACATTGTCACAATATATTTATTGGGCTATTTATCTCCGCTGACAAAACACTGTACATTTGGAAGAATGTTCTCACCCTATAAAAACTGAGTTTCATTTGCTGAATTTATTATTCTTCTCCATCCCGAGTGAGGTGGGTACTAGGGTGCAAGGGAAGAAGGAAATGAAGGCCTGTGGTTTCAATTTTTTTCATGGCCTTGTAAGTATGAGGGAGTTGTAACCTTTCAGATGCAGTTGGACTCCACCTCCATCGGCTCCAGCCAACATGACTAGCAGTCAGGGATGATAGCGGTCAGTGGTCCAGAAACTTGTGGTTGGGTCTGTGAAAATGGAAAACGCAGAAGGTGGTCTGTAAGAAGCTATGCCTCTTCAAGACTGCAAGGGATATTGCTGTGACTGCCTGCTGTTCTAAGTGAGCTGTAATGGTTTTGCTCTGTAGGTGGTTGTTAAATTCTTATTGCGTGGCCAGGCAGAGACCCCCCAACCCCAGGTGACCCCCGGGTGGAATAATGACTCATGACAACGTGTTATGGGATTAAAATTGGCCACAACTTTATTAAACTTTCAGATGTAGGGAGACCAACTTCCGGGTAAGTTCCACCCTCTATTGCAGGCTTCCTCAACCTTGACCCCCCAGATGTTTTTAGTCTACAACTCCCATGATCCCTAGCTAGCAGGACCAGTGGTCAGGGATGATGGGAATTGTAGTCTCTAAATATCTGGAGGGCCGAAGTTGAGGAAGCCTGCTCTATTGTGTGTGCAAGGCGGTCCCAACCCTACCTGGTTGACTCCCCTGGCAACACCTCCCCATCTGGGATTGGTTTACTGTCTGAGGTTGGGCGGGAACCTCCAGGTATCCAGCTTGGGGAGGTGAAGCCAGGCCAAATTGCCAGGAATCGTGTGGGATCAGGGGGCTGTGCGTGGCCACACAAAAAGCGCCCACCATTTGAAGTGGGGAGCAGTCATTATCAGTTAATCCAGGTGTGCAGTGTGGATTCTTTTTTGTGATTGACCTGTGTTCACCTATTGTATGCATATTAACTTGGGCCGCTCTAGCCCAAGAGTGTAGATTCCTAGAGAAGCTCTTCCAAGACAATGACAGCTATAAAAATATTCCAAATGTCTTGTTTCTGCTCATTAGGACCATTGATGGAAGCCCTTCTTTGAGACGCATGACTGTGATGAGGGAAAAGGGAAGGCGGCAAGCAATCAGAGGTCCAGCTTTTATGTTCAACGAGAGGGGCACAAGTCTTACGGCAGAGGAAGAGCGCTTTCTGGACGCGGCAGAGTATGGGAACATCCCTGTGGTACGCAAAATGCTGGAAGAGTCAAAAACTTTGAATGTCAACTGTGTCGACTACATGGGCCAAAATGCCTTGCAGCTCGCTGTGGGGAACGAACATTTGGAAGTGACAGAACTTCTGTTGAAGAAGGAGAACCTGGCACGGATCGGAGATGCCCTGCTGCTTGCAATTAGCAAAGGGTATGTCCGGATTGTGGAAGCAATCTTGAATCATCCCGGGTTTGCAGCTAGCAAGCGGCTGACTCTGAGCCCGTGTGAGCAGGAGCTCCAGGACGATGACTTTTATTCTTACGATGAAGACGGCACCCGATTCTCCCCAGACATCACACCCATCATTTTAGCAGCCCATTGTCAGAAGTATGAGGTGGTGCACATGCTGTTAATGAAAGGGGCGAGGATAGAGAGACCTCACGATTATTTCTGCAAGTGCAACGATTGTACTGAGAAACAAAAGCATGATTCTTTCAGCCATTCCAGGTCAAGGATAAATGCATACAAGGGACTGGCAAGTCCTGCCTACCTGTCTCTGTCCAGCGAAGACCCGGTTCTCACTGCTCTAGAACTCAGTAATGAGCTTGCTAAACTGGCTAATATTGAAAAAGAATTCAAGGTAAGGCTTCTTCTTTTTTCTGTGCCTTCTCTGCGTGCTGCATTGGCTTCGGTGGATTAAAACACTTCACATTTATTTCCCCCTCACTTTATCTGTTCCTTTTAATATTGCTGCTGCGATGTCTGGATGTTTTTTGAAAACACCATTTTGCTTTAAATGAAAATACTTCATAAGCGCCGGGTGTAATCAGAAAAAACGCAATACTCCCCTTGGAATAGATGAAAACAGGTTTGTTCACTGTAACAGAATATAATTGTTTTTATTAAAGTGCACTCTGTTGAAATAATGTCATCTGAGCTACCATAAGAAAAAGCAAGCGCTAGGTCCTAAATGAGTATTCCTGTTTCTATTCACACCTCTAGATTGTTGTTTACAAGTTATAAAAGCTATACACATTTGTCATTTCCCTCTCAGAAGGACACCGCTCATTCATCTGCCAGAAATGTATTAGCGTGCCAAGAGCCAGCTGTTAAAATCTATCCAGATGTCCCACCTTTCTGTCTGATGATCATCTATACATATAATGGAGTCGTAGCATGCCAACTAGTCTCTCTTTTTCCAGATTTTTCATTAATTGGACTCTGATAAGCATTACTCTGCTCTGCCCCTTTATGATGCCCATGTTCTTAAAATGCCTGATAAAGTTACAGAGGATAGCCCTATCCTGAAGTAGGTCTTTCTGAAAAATGAAACTGGGACCGTGGATGCAGATTGTAAACAAAATTGGTTCTACAAATGGCAATTTTATCCAGCTGCAGCAAACATTTTAATGGGGGTCCTTCTGGGTCAGTGTTGGATTCTGCTTCTCTAATTAACTTTTCCCTAAATTATTGCGAGGATGCGAAAGATACATTAATCTGCGAGGCCTGTTCTGAGCAGAGAGAGTTTTAAAGAGCTAAATGTGGGTGAGCAGCATGGGCTGGCAGTGATGGTATATGGTTATGTGGATATTTAACACTGCAGTGCCAGACATAATGTACAACTTAATATCTGCTACAGCACATTTCAGCTCCTTCAGTGGCCCTTCTATTGTAGATGGAAGTGTGGTGAAAAATTAAACTTAGCCTTTTTGCAAGTTGCATATTTTGTAAGCATGGCATTAGATTTGGATTTGAATAGTTACCGGTAAATACGTAATTACTTCATCATTCTGTTTTGTACTGTTTTATTGTTGTTAACCGCCCTGAGCCCGGCTTCGGCTGGGGAGGGCAGGATATAAATAAAATTATTATTATTTTTATTATTATTATTATTATTATTATTATTATTATTATTATTTACACAGTTTTGTATTGCAACCTCATACCAAGGAAAGCACCTCATCTTGTTCCAATGCATCCTGCAACACAGCAATTTATTAAATTGTAGATTTGTGAATCTTTATTTTATACATTGTACTGAAACTCTAAGATGATTCCTTGTTGTGTAGTGTATAATACATTTGATGCATTGTTGTGTAGTGCAGAAATACGTTTCTTCCTTACTTTTTATTTTCTGTATCCAGATAAAATTGACTTTTTGAAGTTACAAAAATATTGTTTGAAGGAAGACTATAATCCTGGAAGTTGAACGTGCAGCTATTACAGGCCATAATATACTCTTTCAAGGCTTGGCTCTACTACCCCAGCTTCTCATAAAGCATGCAGTTAATCGAAGCGTGACGTTGTAGTTTACTGACTGTAACTGATCATAGATCATATTATTAATAGAACAAAAGTGTCTGGCAAAGACTGGGAGAGATATAGACCCAAGCAAACAGTGGCAGCACCTAAATACTAAGGTGTCAGCTTTGACTTGCACTCAGAAACAGCAGCATTTACCTATGTTTGTTCTTATACCGTTCTTGTACTATGTACCAACAGAGCAAATGATTCTAGCCCATGCAGTAGCAAATTAAGACCGTAACTGCATGTCATAGTCTTTAAATGACATACAGTCGTACCTTGGAAGTCAAATGGAATCCATTCTGGAAGTCCATTCAACTTCCAAAATGTTCGGAAACCAAAGCGCAGCTTCTGATTGGCTGCAGGAAGCTCTTGCAGCCAATTGGAAGCCCTGTCAGACGTTCAACTTCCAAAAATAGTTCGCAAACCGGAACCGTCCCAGTTTGTGGAGTTCGGGAGCCAAAATGTTCGAGAACTAAGCTGTTCAAAAACCAAGGTATGACTGTATTCTTTAACCTAAATTTGTGTGGGAAAAGTCTTCAAGATAGGTTAGAAAAAGTAAAATCCACCCACACCTCCAGTGCATATCATTTGAAGGCACAGGAAACCTTTGAAAGTTTCACTGTCGATTAAAGGCTAAGTAAAGCTGGTGATGGAATCTCCCATCCATTCCAGAAGAAAGAAATAGATCTGTCTTTAACAGATTCAAGATTCAAGGCACAGATTCAAGAGCTTGTTGTGCTTGTTCAAGGATGGAGAATGTGAGCATTAGAATGGGATCATTTGCATCCCCTAATGCTAGGCCTACTTTGTAAGCCACTAATGTATATACATATGGGGCAGATTGGTTTTTCTATTCAGGCTTTGGTGTTAATGTTACTTTGTAGGTTTTTGTGGGGTTTGTTTGTCTTTGTTGCTCCATTACACTGATGGATTGCATTATACTACGAGAACCCAGCCCCTCAAGGCATCTTACTGCTTTATTTATGAAACCCAGTTCCACCATTAATATTGGTTGCCTGTTGTCAACCCATTTAACTAGTGTGCCTTGACGAACTGTGTTGCAGGCCAGGGAAATCCTGAACTCCTTGGAGGAAGGGCTGGATTAAAAATGTAGTAAGTAAATAAAGATTTAATTTTTTTTAAAGCAGAACTTAATCCTTTTACCGTATTTTGAATGGGACACCAATACCTATCAGCGTCCAAACTTGACAAAGCAATCTAATTAGCAACAAGGAGGAGTCGTCAACCACTATCTCATTTAGAGGGTCCATTCACAAAACTCCAGTCTTCTTTATAACTTTTTGGGAAGTTTTCAAACATCTCTTACGTTTATTTGCAACAAACAATGTCAACCTGGCCATGCAATATGTATCCTTAAGGATTTTGGATGGCTTTTATCAGAAGGTCTCAAAACTTTCTCGTGCAATGTGTCTGGGATATGCATTATTTGCAAATGTTAAGATAGAGAAGGGACTACAGTGTTGTGGCTGCTTGAGGTGCACAGTCATTCATTGCCTTATAACTAGTGGGGAAAGGCTTTGAAATGTAAAGTCTGGTGGTGGCAGATGGAGATAGGTGGAGTGGACCAGTATGAGGGATGAATTTGAAACCATGACACTAGGAAGAACTATGGCACCGAAAAGTTGTTGTCTGAAGCAATGCAATTGGTCTATTATAGAACTGATTTTGGCTTCAGTAGGGGAAACTGAATGGAAGTGAGAATGAAATTGTCTGCTGCTGCTTACCCTATCCTGTGCTGAGAGGAGAATCAAATATGAGATAATACCTTGCCTACAGGATTTGAGATAGAAATGCCTGTTCAAAGCTATCGGAAAGCCACAAGCTTTGAACAGAGCATACCTTCTGACACTTCTGAAAGCAGAGCGAGAGACAGCGAGAAAGCATAGAATCACGGGTTTTAATTGGTTGTCTTGGTTTATCTGATTGTCCAGGAGGTTGCTTTCTTCAACAGAGTCTATGGCTAAAATGGGACAGAGAAGGATTTTCCATTCCATAATGGATCAGGCTTATCACTTGAATCATGCAGCCATTCATTACCATTTGAGGCAGAGCAAATGCAATAGGTTTTTGCCTTCTCACGCTGCATATCCCCACATGCCTGGCATAGATGAATTCCAGGGCTCTTAACTTAGGACTGTTGGCAACTGTGAGGAAATGCTCATACTATTAAGGATATTGCAACTTTGCAAAAAATTTAAACTTCTAATTTGTTAAAAGAACAGCAGTTCTTGCTCATTAGATTATCTCTTGTCAAGGAGATCTAGCTGGCATTATTCTTTTATAAATGCTTTGGCATGATTGGTTGGACTTGAATAATGCTGAAAAAATCTTGAGTGATTAAGAAGCAATACCAACACAATGAGATTTATTTTTTTCATGACTTGCATCAGTCCTGATACTTAAAATCCACTTTCACTACTGTATCCTTGTCAAAGATAGTAATGCGCGCGCGCGCACACACACATTAAAACAATGACTTTAAAATAATAATAATTCTACCAGTTAGAGCTGAAGCCTTTTTCTAGAAAAATCAGAAACAAAAATATCTGGATAGATCGAACACTAAATTCTCTTCCCTTTTGCTAAAATGAGTATGTAAGGCACAAAGGAAGCTGCCTTATATTTAGGCAGATCCTTGGTCTATCTAGCTCAGTACTGTGGTACCTCAGGTTACACACGCTTCAGGTTACATACGCTTCAGGTTACAGACTCCCCTAACCCAGAAATAGTGCTTCAGGTTTAGATCTTTGCTTCAGGATGAGAACAGAAATTGTGCTCCAGCGGCGCGGCAGCAGCAGGAGGCCCCATTAGCTAAAGTGGTGCTTCAGGTTAAGAACAGTTTCAGGTTAAGTACGGACCTCCGGAACGAATTAAGTACTTAACCTGAGGTACCACTGTATTGTCTGCACTGACTGGGAGAAGTTCCCTGGGGTTTCATTTCTAGCCCTATTTAGAGATTCAAAGCAGACATCTGCTATTGAGCCATGGTCCTTCCTCATGCCCTGCTGCTTTTGCTGTGATTATTGACCCATGCTTTGCCCAATAATGTCTATTGTTATACATATGAGTTAGAGCAGCTCAAACTCGGTAGCAAAGGTTTTAAGAAGAAGCAAGGGGTGCTTTCAGACAGCTTCCCAGGCAAAGGAGAAGCGGCTGGCCTGGGTTTCCAGATGCAACTCCCATGGAAGAATGCGAACAACGGCAAAAATCTGACAAGAAGATCAGTGTCACTAACAAGTGAGCAAGCTGCCCTAATTTCAACCGCCCTTTAGGACGGTTCTCTAGGGAGATCGCAGCTAGTTGTCATAATTGCATTCTTATTTGCAGAGCAAGTTTAAAATGTGTTAGACGCTTTGCAGATAATACCATTTGCACTCTGAGGTTTGTGTAATTGCTTAGTTGAGACTTGGTACTAAACTTTATAATAAATCGAGCATACGAAAGAGAGACCAGCAGCCATGTCGAAAAAGAAACTGAAGTGCTCCCCGCCCCCTGACCCGGGGACATAGCTGCTTCTCTTTGAAATTCTCTCTCTCTCAGTCCTGATCTCTCTTTAGCTCATGGGGTGGAAAACCATTTTCTGCTCGAGGACAGCATTAACTTGGTGGAAAGTTGTCTGGGGGCGAGGTATATTCCAGCAGTGGGTGACTCAAAAGTACACCTTTAACACAAAAACACTCTCTCACAGTTAGATTTGACATGTGCGGTAGTAAGGGAAAAAAAATATACCCATATTTTTCGCTCTATAAGACACACTTTTCCCCTCCTAAAAAGTAAGGGGAAATGTGTGTGTGTGTCTTATGGAGCGCTCCTCCCTCTTCGCTTAAGAGGCTTTGCATTGCTTTCTTGTTTCTTGTTTTCCTCCTCTAAAAACTAGGTGTGTCTTATGGTCAGGTGCGTCTTATAGAGCGAAAAATACGGTAGTACAGTGCTGCTATGATTCTTCCTGGATTAAATGTGTGTGCAATTTTGAGTATGTTGAAAGCAGGGGCGGAGGAAGGGGTGCAGTAGGGGCGGGCCGCCCCGGGTGTCACCACTGAGGGGGGTGACAAAATGCCAGGCGGCACTCACTGCGGGCCCTGCAGTGCACCTGAGCCATTCGGCTCTCCTAGGAGAGACACAGTGGCTTTGGTGCATGCAGGCTTCACGCTACCCCAAACAGTCTGCCCATTGCCTCCCTCCCAGCTGTAGGGAGGCTGAGTTGGAGGAGGCAGGCAGACCCCCCCCCCCCCGCTGCTGCCTTTCCATAGAGGAAGGTGGGGAGACTCCCCCAGGCACAGCTGAAGCAAGCCAACTTTCTCTGCTAGCTCCCTGACAGTCAGGCTTCGAAGGACAGCTCCCATCCTCTGACAGGTAGGTGGGCGGGTTGCAAGCGTGGTGCTCCAAGTCTTGACACAAAAGACCTGCTTAAGTGCTCAGGTGCTTATTAGCTTCGTCTCCCTTTTCGATGGACCCCTCAGGCTGCTCCCTCACAAGGTTGTTGTAAGGATAAAATGCTCTATCAAGAGTTATCTTAGGTCCACTATGAGTCAACTCAGCTCTCTGGCTTAGCCAACTTGTCAACTTGTCAGTACAATGTCAACTGGAAAAAAAAGCAGTGAAATCATAGGTGTAGCCATAGTGATGCTGGCAACTCTTGAGTTTTATGGTGTATTCCTAAGTAAGCTCCATTGCTTCCAACAGAACTTACTCCCATGTAAGTGGCATAGAATAGCAATCCTAAATGCTTTTCTGAAATAAGGGAGAATAAGGAGGAAGTTGGGACATATTCAAAGCAAAGTTCTAAAATGGGGCAGGGAAGAGAGAGGTACATGTATTCAGCACTTCTGTAGTGAAAGCAACCAGGCTCAAGACTTAAATACTAAAATTAACGGTGCTGAAAAGAATTCCATGAGATTGGTGTGCTAAGGGGTTTCTGAATACAAGGACAATTTTTCAGAGGTGACAGACATTAATAACAGATTTACAGAGAGCCGTGGAATGTAAGAGACAAATGACTGACAATTGGAGTAACAGAAGGGAGAGGTGAGATAATAAAGTGATTGACTTGTACCCATCATATGGAATACTCTAGCATCCTGCTCCGTGAACTGCTGCTCTTGATTACTTTGGTCCTCTTGGAGCAGCCTTTACTGTACACTCCTCCTGTGAACCTACCGGGATCTTGGTGATCGTCATCAGAGGCCCCTCTCCATGTGCCCCTTCTGATAAATGTGTGGAGGGTGGTAAGAACTGGCTTGTTCAGTGGTTGGTCCCCATTGATATAATGCTCTCCCCAGAAGAACATGCCTGGCACCATCACTGTCAGCTTTCAGATGCCAGGCTAAGAAATTCCTGTTTACCTAGGCTTTTGGTGGATTAATTTGCATTATAACACAGTGTGATTTTTCACCTGCTCATCTTTCAGTTGGGTGGGGTTAGGTTCATTGCTGCATGAGCACTTTTTAGATAAACCGTTCTTTTATTTGTTTTTTAAATGTTTTCAAGCCTTGTGTATTTAATGGATCTGTAAGCCGTTTTGATGCAGCTTTTGTGGAAAGCCACAGTAAATAGAATAAATCATAACAATTAATAATACACTAATTTGAGGACCTGCCTAGTGCTGCATTTGTCTTTCTTCCCTGTCTCAGTGTGCACGTTGGTATCTGTGTTGCTATGCAAATTAAAGTATCGTTTGAATACCATGTACGAAAAAGAGGGCAGAAATGTGCAATCCAACCTAGACAGTCATATGCAGAATGTACATATTCTAAATAAATGCACATTACTAAATCAGTTCCACATGAATTGATGTGACTCAATAACTATTGTCTGCTTTTTAGAATGACTATCGCAAGCTGTCTATGCAATGCAAGGATTTTGTGGTTGGCGTCCTTGATCTCTGCCGAGACTCTGAAGAGGTAGAATCCATTCTAAATGGAGATTTGGAGGCTGAGCCAGTTGAAACACAAAGGCACAGAGCTTCATTGAGTCGTGTCAAACTGGCAATTAAGTATGAAGTCAAAAAGGTAAGTGACTGTCTCTTTTAGACAGTATGATACTGGATGCATTGCATCATAAACTTCCTGCGTCAAGAACCTTAAGCACTATAACAGGCCTGTATTGTAAACACTTTACGGGTCCTGTCCTCTGGACAGGAATAATTCACTAATGTCAAACTGATTTCACAATAAGGCAGCAGAGAGATTGGCATTTTTCAATGAAAGTAATAGGGGCTGTCATACACGAGTCAATTATTGTGATGCAGTGTTCTCACGCATGTGCATGTTATGCATTAAAACATCCAGAGACAAACAGCCACGTCTTGATCCGTCTTCAGCATAAATAAAAAGACTGGAGAAATCATTCTGTAAATAGAAATGATGTTATATCATTATGTTGTTCTTAACTGTACTGCCATTCCACTCAACCTTCTCCCCCGCTGACCATGATCCAGCCACAGTTAAGCTCTTCTGTGTCCCATTGATTTTGTGTCTTCCATTTAAATTAACAGCACTTAAAAGTACTTCACTTTGTCTGGATTGTGTGTAGTGTCAGTGTAATGGGAGGTAGATGCACCAGAGTACATTAAAAATGGCACTCACCTTTTGAAAGCTGTTACTGCTCTTACAACTAATAGCCGCAACAGGCAGTTGCTTGCAGATCGGAAGTGATGTATCACATGCGCACAGAAACAGGCCTTGTTAGTTCCTTTTAGAAGCATCACTGGCAGAGAAAGGGGGGTGCGCCCCGCCCCGGGTGTCATCCCTGAGGGGCGGTGACATTGTTGCGGGCGGTGTCCCCTCGGGGATGCTCGCCGCCACCAGCACCTCCCCCGGGAGGCTCGCCGCCACCGCACCCCCCTGGGACACTAGCCTCTAGCCCCGCCCCCACGGGCACAGCAGCTAGCTCCGCCTCTGAGAAGCATATTTTAAGCTTGGAACGATAATGTTTGGTTAGAGTCTCTCTACATAGGAATCTGCTATGACGTGAGATATGATAGATGTACAGTATATTCTAGGGGGTTCTGCTGACAAAAGTCTTTAAAATAGCCACAGAAGCAAACTCTGTTCCAATGGCAGTTTATTTATATAGAAAACAGCCATTATAAAACTTCCAGGCCAGTGCTTTCTGGGTCTTAACGTTTACGGATAATCACCTTGGGTCATCACCTCTGAGAAGTAATAAAACACAAATGCTAGAGGACTACGGAAAGGACGTGACACCTACATTTATTTACATCTGAATATGTCTGCCTTGGTGGCCGTGCTGCCAGTAACAGCAAGCTTTTTCACAGCTTCTGTTATAAATCACATTGTGTTATAGTGAGCCACCTGTTAAAGCCAACCTACTAAATAAGACTGCAGTGCATAAATTGGATAGTGTTAGTTTCTTTAAACTCATCCCTGATTAATAGATACTTGAATATTTTCATTTATATAGATCACAAACTTTAAAAATAATCGAGGGTTTATTAATTAGAGATGGGTTTAAGGAAACTGACACTATCCAGTTCTTATATAGTATATCTCTGTGTTACAAGAGCATTCTATTTTGAGACCAGGTGTGTTGTTGCAATGTCTGTGATTCCTGCACTTCATCTTGAGCTCATGCTTTACCTGTTCACGGTGCCAGTGGGGGCCATTAATTTATGGGACCAGTGCTGGCTTTGGAGAGTGCACGGCTGGCTTCTGAATGCTTCTGTGGCATTTCTTGGGAGACAAGGCTCCTGCCTTCTGTAGAGTCTTGTGATTCTGATTTTGCAGTAAGCAGCCAAACTGAAAGCATGAGAGGTAGCTCTGCAGATTGTTCATAACCTGATAGTAATATGCAGAACTTCCCTGGATAACTTGGAAAGCCACAAGTTTGCTTTTTATTCTGCACCGCAACAAAACAAATGTTTCTCTTTTTCCTAGGCATGTGCCCTTTGAACACAAATCAACTGATTAGGTTCTCTTGGGCTTTTAAAAACATTGGATCTTTAAGGATCTGCTGATTTTATAAACTTAGGGCAACGTTGGAGAACCTCCAGGCTGTGGACCTAATTCAGTCCTCCAAGCTCCTCCAAATGACCCATTAGCCATTCCTAATGAACTCCATCTGCATGTCAATCTTGTGATGTCATTTGACATCACCTATTTATCATGTTGATCTATCCTACTTTCTGCTTTTTCTAGTTTTCTTTGATTAGGCTTAACAATTTAGTATTTTACATATGTGTCAGGGGCTCAGGAGCAGAGGCACAGGAGAGGGAGGAAATAGAGACCGAGGGGGAGGAATCTGAAGGAAATGTTAGCGACGACAGCCGTCCGAGGTCTCTGAGTCTCTCCAGCGACTCGGAGGATTCACAGAAAGGGGCTCCCATGGTCAGAGCAAGGGGGGTGCCTAGGGGGACACCCCAGGAAGAAGGGGCAAGAGGGGACTCAGAGAGCAGCAGTTGGAAATCAGGACCAGCTTCTCCACCAGAGCGCAGTAGGGGGGAGGAGTCCCAGGCATCGGGATCAGGCGGCGCACCGCCAGCGGGAGGACATGAGTCAGGAGTGGCCACGCCTCCATCGGAGAGCGAGGAAACGGTCAAAAGGAAGGTCGGAGACTGGGCGCGCGCGCCAAGTTCAAATGTACAAGAGGGCGGCGCAGTGGGCAGCCCGGATAGGGAGCCAGGTCCTAAAGCCCGCCGAAAGGAGGGAGGAGACTCAGGGGGGTCAGCGTCAGCGTCAGAAGAGTCCAGGACGGAAGGGACCCCGGGGGGTAGAAGGACCCAGAGGAGAAAGGAGAGACGGAAGAGGTGGAGTAAGGTTAGAGTCTTAAACTGGTGTACAGGGGGCGGAGACTCAGATGGAGCTTCGCCGGTCTAGCCTCTAAGACGTAGAGCTGGGGCGCTCCGGTTTGGAAATGGAAACTGTACTTCAATAAAGACTTTTGTACATTACTGCCGGCTAGCGTTGGTCCTCTGTGAGCTGGGACCTGGAGCCAGCTCTGACAATATGCTTTATATATTTTATGTACATTGGAAGTCTGGAAGAAAGTTCTAGAAACCGTTGCTCAGAATTTCTGTTGTATGTATGTACCGCAAGCTTCACTTTGCAGTTGCAGAGGATTTACAGAAACTTGCTAAACGAGCTGCCTTTCTAGTGATTTTTACTTGGAGAACTCAGGTTTGCAAGGATAAGGACTTCTGCACTTGATTTCTTTGTAAGTTTGAATGGAAAATACAGATAATGCTCAGGTACTACGCCTATATTCTTCTCAAAATATTAATGCAGCCTGCTGGGACAGTTCCTGTTAGGTTTGGACAGGATTTAGCCATAACGGAAAATAAAATGGAAACACGGTTTTACTCAAGTCTTCGGGTTACGGGACTAAAGGAAAAATGAGTTCATTGGATGGGGAATTCGGCTGGTTGTTATCAGGTTATAAAACGTTGGAAGTCTCTTGAATTGTGGAAGTGGCTATGTAAAACCCAGTTTGTTCTTATTCATTGGATCTGCTCTTTGTTCATATGCTGAATTAAATTGAAGCTGGTTTAAGAATAGTGCTAGGCTTAGCATAGAGATTGATAAGAAATATACCAGTACTAGTTGAGGGCATCTTTTGTGAGAGGCAATGTAACAGAAATTCTGAAGATGTTACAGTAAGTATTAGAATAAGTAGTGATTGGAAGACTATTAGTTCATAGTCTTTTGAAATGTTTAGGGAGAAGAAGTCAGGAAGAAAACAACAGTGCAGCAATTGATGCAAATGGTGCTACTTTAGAGATAGTATAATTTTAAAAGTACTGATTTGGGGTATAAGGAAGTGAAAGGAAAATGGTTAGAATCAGTTCTAATGTGCTTCAAGGAGAAATATCCATTGACAAATGTCTCTTGTCTTCTTTGCTAAAACCTTCCACTGAGTTCCCTTGTCTGAATTTATTTATTTATTTATTACTTATTATTTTTGTACAAATGCCCAGCTGGGGGGGGGGGGGAGGAAATATATGGATGACTGGAAACATGTTGCCAGTATTTTTCTTCATATTTGTGAAGCAAGTATTCTGAGTTGCTCTGAACTCTCCTAAGAGATGCTGTGTTAAAATTAGAATTAATAGCTGCATTCGGATGATCATATATTTGTTTAATAAGCTGAGATAGGAATGAACCTTGAGCCTTGTGCCCTCACATGCAGCCGCCTTGACCTTGCATTCAGGCAAGCCAGCAAACCAACCAACCAACCAACCAACCAGGAAACATTCAAGTTAGGTATAGTTTCTTGCTTCAATAGAACCAAATAATGGCTTCAGAATAAGCAAGAATATGAAGCTATTTTCAAACCATGGCTTTGTCTCCTTGCATGTTCTAAAGCAGTTAACCATGGTTTCATGGTATGGTTCATGAAATGGGAAAGTATAGCTAACTGGAAAACATCTTGGTCTGTTAGCAAAGGATGGAGTGAAGTGGCCATGAGTGGCTCGTTTATATCTTGGCGTATTAAGCTAAAATATAAGCATCTAGATATGAACATGTTGCTCTTAGACAAATTAATGGAGGTTAAATACCAAATAGTAGTAGTAGTAGTAATTTATATCCCACCCATCTGGCTGGGTTGTCCCATAACCTTCACCATTAGAAGAAGAGTGTCTCTGGCAGAGCATCCCAAGACATCTATGTGGCTAGGCAGTATTCGAAAAAGGATACTAGGCCAGGTGGACCCTAATCCTCCTTTCAAAGTCATTTAGATTGGTGGCTATCGCTAGATCTAGAGGGAGAAAATCCCACAGTTTAATTATGTGCTGTGTCACAGTAAGAAAGGGGTCAGGGGACTCTAGGGAGTGGAAATAGGGAATGCTAGGGTGTGTATCTTGGCAGGTACCCAGTGATGTCTACCCTGACACCATCACAGCTGCAAAGAATAGATAGTTAAAAACTCTAAAGTTGATATCTAAAGTCATTTTAGACTTGCTGAAGATTTACGCATGCTGAAAGATTTCCCCAAAAGACTGATGCTTGTGCTCAAGTGTGTAACTCAGCCACATCTCTGATTTTGGCTTTATATAACAAACATGCACATTTAGTAATTTCAGAGTTTTTAACATAATTTTCTTCTCTTTGGTGCAGGTGCTCTTTAATTACTTTGTGAATGCTTACTAATTTAACTGCCAATGCTAGCTAATTCAGCAGTAGATATAGCAGAATGCAAGTTAGCTTGCTCCTGAAGGCCTACTTTAAGGCTTATCCATGCTTGCCTTCCTTCTCACTTCTCACAGGCATGGTCTGCACTTTAAAGCACAATGGCTGAGCACCCATTCCTTTTTTGCTCATGAAGGTTCCCATGAAACCTGCTCTTTAAAGCTGGATCAGAGCAAATGGCAGTCTGTGGAAAAACCTGAATTGCTGTTTGCTACGAATCAGCTTTAAAGAGTGGATTTTCATGGGCAAAGCTCCAGATCAAAGAAAAAGGGGGATGGCACTCAGACACAGAGCTTTAAAGTGCAGATAAGTGTGGATGAGCCCTTAATCAAAGCAAATTTAGAACTAATCTTTATGCCTTCCAAATGTCTTGAAGATTTGTTATATTGTGTAAATGGCTGATAATAGCCTTACCTATGCTGAACGTAAGTTAAAAAAAAAACCCCTTTAAAGCTATTTTTGCTGGCATTTTCATATTCAGAATTCTGGGCACTTACTGCTTATTTGCATGCAAAAACCCCACAATGTTTTCCTAGCTTACCATATTGCTTAAAAGTGTTACCCATGATCATACTCAGTGGCTGTGGAATGCTGACTGGCAATTGGGGACTGGGTGGAATGGAATATCCTGAAAGAGAACATGGGTAGCTGGCTGGCATTCTGAATAGGAGCAATTCAAACAACAACATTTTGTTGCAGGCCCACATATCAGGAAACGGTTGGCCTCCTGCCTTTATTGTACAAAGGGCTGCACGTTTTGTTCTGTGCCTTTATGTACAACTACTGCATTTTAAGCAGAAAAATATTAATCACGTATGTGAGGGACATTTAAAATGAAATTCCCACTTGCACCAAGAAAGAACAACTGTTAATATTTTTAGTTTCTGAAAAAAACATGTTTCCAATCTCATTTGAGCCTGTGGAGGTGTTACTGTGATGTTAGCAACTCTGCAACATGCCAAATAAACAAACCTAATAATAACATAAAATTGTATGGTGATAACTATCTGTACATTCAGGAGCCTTTCTTTATAAAGTCTGAAATAGCTTATTCGAGGAAGCTTGTAATTTAATATTATTTTTAAGAAATATGCCTCAGATTCAAGAGCCGTGGCAACATGTGAATAGGTTGCTATTATAATTTTAGTAGCTGATAATGAAGCTTAAAAAAAACTATTATTGGAGTTATATTGGCAACATCATAATCAGAAGGCGTCTTTTTTTGCAATCATAAATATTTGCCAGTGAGAATTCCCATGTGATTTAGTGTATATACAGGTGCTTGATACATACTGAGAGCCTGACGTCTTCCTAATTTTCATAATAAATAGATTCCTCCTGTTCACAAGTAATTTATCAGGAAAATCAAAACTGGGAATGGTACGTTACTATCTGCATTGCTTGCCCTCATTGTATTGGTGGGTAGTATTGCTTCAGGTGGACTTTGCTTTGATACATTGACCACGATCAAAAATTGATAATGAATCTGATAGTGTTCTAGTCCATAAACAACTAGCATTTCTTGGTCTTTAAGGTTCCACCGGAGTCTATAGTTGTTTTGGCTATAACACAGCCCAGCCAAATACCACTGGGAAATGAAACACCAAGTAAGGCATGCTTAAGCCTATTGATTTCAGTAGAATCGATAAACCTAAGTTTCCTGTGTGGGGTTGTAGCTGCTTGTTTCTTGTCATATAAATTGGGTTGGATTCATAGGAACAGAGAAAGCTGCCTTGCACCATTTAGCATGCAGCTTTTGATCTAAAGTCACATCAGTGGTGGGAGGCTGGAAGAAGGGGATGGTGAAATTTACCCGGAGTCGAGTGTGAATTTCATGCTCTTTAGTCAGCTCGTAGTAGCAATGAATGAAACTTTCCCCAGAAACGTCTAGCTATATATACATTATTTACACAATGGGCTCTGTGTGATTGGCTAATTCCAGGCTGCTCCTGTAAGCCAATCAGGTTGCGGATTCACTTCATCCAGGAGACTGATTGGCTGCTCCTGCAGGCCAATCAGGTCTCTGATTCACTTCCACCTGGAGCTGGATTGGGTGGCTCCTGCGGACCAATCAGACTGCTGCATTCTGGATCCTATTGTTCTAGGATGCAGCTCAGTACATTACAGATGGGGAAGCCAAAATGGATGGAGGAGCAGAAGTGCGGGGGAACCCTCTTGATGAGAGCAGTCTGTCCATCCCTAAGCAGCCCTCTTGGTGGAGAGAGAGAGAGAGAGAGAGAGAGAGAGAGAGAAAAGCTGCTGGGAGAGTGACAGAAATAGTGAGAGATGAGTGGCCTCACTATTGTACGGGCTTTAACTCTGCCTGCTGCTGGCATGTGGCCCCAACAGATTACCCCAGAGGAATGTGATTCTTGGGCAGGGAGAGAGAAGGTTCCCTACTCTGAGCTACACCAACTAGCAACAGGCTCTCCGGGGTTTCAGCCAGGGTATTTCTCATCCATGCCTGGAGATGCCATGGACTGAATCTGGGGCTTTCTGTATGCAAACATGTGTTCTAACACTGCACAATGGTCTTTCAAAGCTGCTCTTCCACTCACAGAAGAGCTGTTCTATATCCATCACTAGAACTTTGTTTGAGAAAAGTGGAGGTAAACCCAAAGATTACATTCTCCCTTATGCATCAGGCCAGTGTCTAAAGCAGAAGCATGAGAATTTCTGTCATATGTTATGGCACTGTGCCAATTCCATAGGTGACTATGACAGCAGTTTGTATGTAGCTAAAACAAAATGCTGTTCATCCTGAAGAGAGAACACCGTGTTTTCACACACACACACACTGCATAATAAGCAGTCTCTAATTACCGCTGTTGATTTATCGTCACCACTGTATCCATGACATACTGAATCTCTCTAACGGATCCACCCATGCCTAGAATTTGCAGAATAGCAGTATTGGCTATTTTCCTTCTGCCAGGGTTCCTTGAATCTAACCCTGTGGTTTGGATCCAACTGTGGTTGCTACAAGGGGGAGAGGAAATTCCCCACGTACACGTTTGATATGAGTTGACAGTGGAGGTTAGTACAAAGTAGAGATAGCACTATATAGAAGTTGTTCACCCAGTGGGGTGACAGAAGTTGTTCACCCAGTGGGACTGAGCTGCAATGCTGGCTTCCTGGCAGCTGTCTTGCTCCCACTTGCCAGGAGGAGGAGGAATGAGTGGCGGGGAGGTTGGCTCACAGGCAGAGCCAATCCAGTGCACCTGCCAGTGCGCCCACACTGCCTGACCTCCATGCTGCCTTGCCGCTCCCTCTCCTCCCATTAAGTGGCAATGAGGCACCTTCTGGGAAGCATGGTTAACTTGATGATCTCAGTAGGTGGTGCTCATGTTGTGGTAACCATCCACTCAGCCACTATGCAGTTGCGAAGTGCTGGTTGTGGCACCACCACATCCACAGCCAGTTTCAATCGCTGCACAGCAAGGACAGGAATGTGTCTAAATTCCCTGTCACCATGTTGTGGTCACTGCTGATTTGACCTAGTAACACATCTCACCAGCTACCACTCAATCAGAAGAGCCATTTCTACTCAATGTATTATTCTGTTCAAGGGAATGTGGGTGGCGTTGTGGTCTAAACCACAGTGCCTAGGGCTTGCCGATCAGAAGGTTGGTGGTTCAAATCCCTGCAACGGGGTGAGCTCCCATTGCTCGGTCCCTGCTCCTGCCAATCTAGCAGTTCGAAAGCACACCAGTGCAAGTGGATAAATAGGTACCACTGTGGCAGGAAGGTAAACGGCGTTTCCATGCACTCTGGCTTCTGTCACAGTGTTCTGTTGTGCCAGAAATGGTTCACTCATGCTGGCCACATGACCCAGAAGCTGTCTGTGGACAAACGCCATCTTCCTCAGCCTGAAAGCGAGATGAGCGCCACAACCCCATTATCGCCTTTGACTGGACTTAACCGTCCAGGGGTCCTTTACCTTTTTACTTTACCTATTATTCTGTTCCCTGTTCCCTAACACCTCCACAGTGGCTATATTGGGGTATAATTCCTTTTCAAACATGAAGTTTTTGTATTGGGTGACCATAAATGGGCGATCGCTTGTTCAAAAGAATCTCACGCCATGTGAAATTTTTGTCCCTAATGGAGAGGCAAATTATTATACCCTCTTTCACCATTGATCCTTTTATTTCATTTTAAAGTGGTCCTGTTTAGTTTAGAATAAAAAGAATAAAGCCTTTATCCCAAGTATAGTAATGAGAGGGAGAAACATGATTTCCAGCATGCAGCTCCTGTTTCTAAGTAGGAATATGCTTGTAACATGATCCAGTGTCCCAATAGTTATTCAAAATAGTTATACAAAATTATTCGTCATTATATAAAGATTTGATGGAAACTGAAAGGTTCTCTCAACTCTCAACTGAAATATCTCTTCTATTAACATGTTAATGTTTGCATTGTCTGTATTCTTAAGAAATCGAAAATGTGAGCTGTTGCAATAGGTGCAATAGAATCTTTGTTCCTCCACATGCTGTTCCATCAATCCAGTTTGCCATGCTGCTTTGGGGCTGATGGGAGTTGGAGTCCAATGACTTATATTGGGGAGAGGGGCACAGGTTACCCAACCCTGCAGTGCATTAATTACATGTGCTTCAGTATCTGTGTAACTTGTTTTTCTTCTGTTTTCCCCACAGTTTGTGGCCCATCCAAACTGTCAGCAACAGCTGTTGACCATCTGGTATGAAAACCTCTCAGGACTACGGGAACAGGCCATTGCGATCAAGTGTCTAGTTGTGCTGGTGGTAGCACTGGGCCTCCCATTTCTTGCCGTTGGGTACTGGATTGCACCATGTAGCAGGGTACAAGGTTTTGTTTTTGGCTTTTTTGGTGTGTAAATGAATTTCATTTCAGAAAGGCCTCTGTTGAAGTGAGAGACCCAGTCGTGTGCTGAAGGCCATATTCCTGTTTCTCTTGATACCTTGCTGAAACCAAATGATTGCTATTGTTAACATAATTGTGATTATTCGTTTCCATTACACCAGAATGTTTTACAGTTTCTTATCCTGTACTTCTGTTGGGCGAGTGAATTTGGAGCATGAATACCCTAGTTACTAAAAGGAAGTAACACTCTATGCAAATAAAATAATGCTAAAGATTAGTAATTTATAACAGGTTTCTAAACTAAATAAAATAGGTTGTGGCTGCTCTGCTTGGATGACCTAGGGAAGAGGTCCTGTATCTTCTTCTCTTCTCTCTTATGAAGAAAAGCTATCTCAAGTATGATCTGTAAGCACACGAGGCCATCATCTTGCTGAAGCTAACGAGGTCTGGTCAATACAAGAGCCTGAGAACTGCATGAATACCCCCTAGGGCTCAATGATGGACGAAATGTAGGATATAAGTTTATGAAAAGAAAAACACATACACACTATAAGGATCAGTATGTGTTACCCAACATACTGGTGGCCTCATAGGCCTCCTGTTAATACTGCTTGCTTGAGATAATAATAATAATTTATTATTTATACCCCAGCCATCTGGCTAGGTTTTCCCAGCCACTCTGGGCGGCTCCCAACAGAATATTAAAAACACAATAAAACATCAGACATTAAAAACTTCCCTAAACAGGGCTGCCTTCAGATGTCTTCTAAAAGTCAGATAGTTGTTTATTTCCTTGACATCTGATGGGAGGGGGTTCCACAGGGCGGGCGCCACTACCGAGAAGGCCCTCTGCTTGGTTCCCTGTAACCTGACTTCCCTCGCAGTGAGGGAACCCCTAGAAGCCCCTCAGAGATTGCAACAGTGTGTGCGGTTGCTTTAGGCCAATTAAAATGTTTCAATCAAAACCTTTTCAACTTTTGCATAGGATTGCCAACAATTTGGTTCTACTTTTCATCAAAATGTGATTCCAAAATGGTTTACAAAAGCATAAAAATATACAACAGTCATTTAGGCGAAGGATTCTTAAGTATGGCTTTACAATAGTTAAACTGCATGCAAAGAAGTATCCCTAAATTGAAATTTAGCATTAAATATGCATTTTTGGCACGTTTGTTGAAAGTGAAAGCATACATTGCTTAAAAACAAATATATTCTCCTTTGCTTTCTCAGCTTGGAAAAGTTCTCAGAAGTCCATTTATGAAGTTTGTGGCACATGCAGCCTCCTTCATTATTTTCTTGGGTCTGCTGGTGTTCAACGCTTCAGACAGATTTGAAGGGGTCACAGTATTACCCAACGTGACAGTTACTGATTACCCTAAACAGATTTTTAGGGTTAAGACCACTCAGTTCAGTTGGACAGAGATGCTGATCATGGTATGGGTGCTTGGTATGTATATAGCCTCTCTATCTCAGTGTCAACCTGATTGGTTTCTGTGGCATTCTTCGATAAAACTGCTTTCTGTCATAGCTATTGTATGCTGCTCCTGTACAGTGGATTTAATTCGTTAATTCGTTCCAGGGGTCAGTGCACACCCTGAAAAATCTGTATCCAGAGGCACAGAGCGCTTATGTGCATGCGTGAACAGCAAAACCCGGAAAAATACTTCCGGGTTTGCCACTTTTGCAACCTGAAGTTTACATTGCTCGAGAGTAACCCGAGGGTCTATTGTAGTAGATTTCTAGGCAGAGATCTCACAAACAGAACTAATTAAAACTAAGCATCATTAATGCTTTAGAGTAGGGCTTTCCAGACTTTTCATGGTGGTGACACACTTTTAGACATGCAGCATTTCGCGACACAGTAATTCAGTTTTACTAGCAAACCCCTTTGTAACCCTGGGAGGAGCACTGGGAGCATTCACATGACACACCTACACACTGCAGCTGACACACTAACGTGTCGTCGTGACACACAGTTTGGAAAGCTCTGGTTTAGAGAGTGCTACTTGTAAAACGTATATTTTTTGAAACAAAGAGCTGGTGTAAGGTTTTGTCGCAAAAATCAGACTTCTTCCCAGTGACCATAGATGTTCAATGCAAATTACAGGATATGTGTTGAATATCCAAGGGATCTGGGAAGAAGTCTTTCTTGCTCCAGTAAATAAATAAATCTCACTACAACTTAAAGAGATAAGAGAAGCAACATGATAGGCAGATAGATCAGCTAGCCAAATCTATAATGGCTGTGTTTCTTAATTTAGACTGAACTGAAAGTCTCAGAGTTTAGTTAAATAAACTCTGGAGATTGCACAGCATTTCCCCATAGCCTGGGAGTGTCAATAGCCTTGATCACTGATCCCTAGAGCCTTAAAATAACTCTGGCATTTTTATCTTGCTCTCTTGGAGACCTTATTGTAGAGGACTAAAAATAATTTAAAAGTTGTGGGCTCAGTGGCGTAGCGTGGGTTGTCAGCACCCGGGGCAAGGCAAGTAATTTGCTCCCCCTAACCCGATAGTCCCTCACTCTCTCTCCGCACCGCACTGCACGCCTGGCAAACCCCCCTCCACAGTGGGCAGCGACCCGACGGCTTGGATCAGATTCGCACAGCCAGCACTGCAGTGAGAGTGAGTGAGCCAGGTAGGGGCAGAGAGCTGTGAGTGCGAGCGTGGCCCCCCCCCAGATGTTGCGCCCGGTGCGGCTGGCCCCCCCTGCACCCCCACGCTACGCCACTGTGTGGGCTGTAACCAAGTCAAATTCAGAGCACAGCCGTTAAAATAAACTGGTGTTAGACAAATGTGTTGAATTCAACGGGTCTATTGTATGTTGCGCCAGTTGTCTTATTATGCATATGTCTTATTCAAATACTACCCTGTACCTGTATGCCTTTTCAACTTTATTAACATCCTCTTCAAGTTCATATAAAATGAACATCGTATCTAAAATTGTGGAGGTCTGTTTGTTATGTACTGAAGTTCTCACCCTGGGCCAGCAGGGGGATACTGTAGATAGTTTTCACTCAGGTCCACATATGCAAATAAGGGATTGAAAGTGACGTTCAGTGATTGGATAGTAATAGAAAATGGTTACTGTTGTGTTCTAGTGGTGCTCTATATAAGCAGGCTGGCTGAGCCCTTCAGTTCAGTTCTGTTCTGGCCTGTGAATAAACAAGAGCTGTTTGAAGAATCGCTGTGCCGTCTGATATGTTCACCCACAAGTTAACACTGTTCCCTTAGCACAATAGAATGCCAGAAAATTTCAGAGCACCTGAATCTTCCATTAGACATATGAGTGTGCATACACACCCACACCCACCATCCCACATATACTTTCTCTTTCCTTTTCTCCCTGTCACCTTAAGGTGACCCAGCTGCTCCCAGATTAGATGAATGAATGGAATAAATCCATCAGTGCTGAGCAGCAGTTTCTCTTCTGCAGGTGAGAATAGTGAAGTGTTGCTTTTACAGGTAGTGCTTAGGAGGGAGGCTGGAATACTTCCGCCAAGCAGCTGCTGAAGATTACCTACCTCACTTTCCTGCAGGACTAACCTAAGTCTGGTAATCAAGATAAGAGCTCAGATAATCTGAGTGTGAGTTTGGGTTAGATATGCAGATTTATATGTCTTGCTTGTATACTACTTTGTGCTAACATTTCACGAGGTCTGTTACACCAGTAATATTGCAGAATAGGCCTATGACACTGTACATAAATCTGGTGTGACAGGTGAGATCCTTGCAGTTTTCTGCATGGAAGTGGTTTTCAAGTATGACATGCCTTGTGTAAAGCAGCTAAGAAAGACCTAAACCATTTTCACTTGTACAATTCTATGTATGTCTGTTCAGAAGTCAGTCTCGCAGAGCAGCAGTTTGCTCCCAAGTCAGTGTGTAGCAGTTTTCACTGTGTTTTTATTGCTTTTCTGGTTTTTAGGCATGATGTGGTCCGAGTGCAAGGAGCTCTGGACAGAAGGACCCCGGGAATATATTTTGCAGCTGTGGAACGTTCTGGATTTTGGGATGTTGTCTATTTTCATTGCCGCTTTCACAGCAAGGCTGCTGGCCTTTCTGCAGGCGACAAAAGCACAGCAGTATGTGGACAACTTCATTCAAGAGCCTGACCTCTCTGAAGTCACACTTCCACCAAACATAGAATATTTCACTTACGGCAAGTAAAAAAAATGTTTTCGTGTCTCTAGTATATTAAAATGGCTAGCATCCTTTTGAAGAAATAGCATGAGGATTATCACAGGGGATGCTCACTCAGTGGGGCACAGCTGCAACAAGAGCATCCTGGCAGTGGCAATGCTATTATTTACTGGGACAGGGTAGATTGGCTCTACTGGCGCAGCCCCACAGACCCCACATTGACCCTCCCAGTAAGTAATAGCAATTCTGCTGCCAGGATGCTCTTGTTGCAGCTCTGCCCCACTGGGTGAGTTGCACCTGTAACCTCATATAACCACCCAAGCATACTTGGGACGCAGGTGGTGCTGTGGCCTAAACCACTGAGCCTCTTGGGCTTGCCAATCAGATGGTTGGTGGTTTGAATCCTGATGGAGTGAGCTCCTGTTGCTCTGTCCCAGCTCCTGCCAACCTAGCAGTTCAAAAGCACGATAAATAGGCACTGCTGCAGTGGGAAGGTAAATGGTGTTTCCGTGTGCTCTGGCTTCTGACACAGTGTTTCATTGCGCCAGAAGCAGTCTGGTCATACTGGCCACATGACCTGGAAAGCTGTCTGTGGACAAACGCCGGCTCCCTCGGCCTGAAGCGAGATGAGCACCACAACCCCATAATCGCCTTTGACTGGACTTAACCGTCCAGGGGTCCTTGACCTTTTACCTTTATATTTACTTTTTTGAGCCCAGTACAAACTTATAAAACAAGCCTCCTCCTGAAGATGCTACTCCTTGCATATGACCTTACAAATCATGAAAGAAAAGTTTTGATTTTTCTTCTGCAATTACATTTAATACCTTGATCTCCCCCCCGTTGGATCTCTTCCATCATGCCCTCAAACAACTATCTCCTTTTTTCCTATTTTTGTTTTAGCATAACATCCAGCTTGAAAAAGAGTCTTACAAAGCTTGGTGTCTGTTTTGCAACTTTTAATAAATAAATAAATAAATAAATCCAAATAAAGATATTATTCTTTTGAAGTTTTGAAGGGCTACAAACATTTGATAAGTAAATCAAATCACTTTAAAGCTTTCTGGCCTTTTTCATCACAAAGTCATGAATTATTTCCTCCAAATCAACTTCTCTTACAAGGTCTTGGTGAATTCAAATTACTCAAAAATATCTATTGAGTGCTATAAATATGTATCTTTATCAAGATATATGAATATAGAACGGCCAGATATTTTATTTTTTTAACACGCAATAAAAAAATACACATAAAGCAACAGTTTCTCGTTTATGTCTCTTTCTTTCAGCTCGAGATAAATGGCTTCCATCTGATCCGCAGATCATATCAGAAGGTCTTTATGCAATAGCTGTTGTGCTTAGCTTCTCTCGGATAGCTTATATCCTGCCTGCGAATGAGAGTTTTGGCCCATTGCAGATTTCCCTTGGAAGGACCGTAAAAGACATTTTCAAGTTTATGGTCCTTTTTATTATGGTATTCCTTGCCTTTATGATTGGGATGTTCATATTGTACTCCTATTACCTTGGAGCCAAAGTAAACGCAGCATTTACGACGTAAGTAATGCGTATGAAAAAAGGACAAAAGTTTTGCATCCTCTTTGTGATGGAGGCTGCTGGAAGTTTACAGTACAAGTTAGTTTACACATGCATGTCCATCACAATAACTTGTCACTCGGTTCATTTGGATGGATTCAGCTGATTGTAGCTTCTCCTCTGTCGCCTCCTGCCCATAATTGCCTATACCGAGAGTAAATGTTACTGAATGTATTTGAGTTGCAATTATTATATAAGTTTAACCAGGTGCATTATGTAGTTAGACAAACTATTTAACATTCTTATGTTGTTGTTTTTTAAAAAATGAAGCTTACAGGGCATGTGATATTGAAGATTTGTATGAATGCACAGCAGATTGAGAATGGTATACCATACAGTCACTCATATAATAATTGGATTTCTTCCTGCAAAAAAAAAAGGGGGGGAGCCAAATCTACACCATTCATGGACTAATGCATTTATAGTTGGGGCGTGTAATATTGCACATGTGTGTCCACTGCGCATGCTAATACACAGTGACATATAATAATCATGCATTTTTCATAAAAGCAAGCAATTGTTATAAGAATCACACTGTGCTATGTTGAAATAGCTGTGCATGCACACACATGTACATTTGGTGCTTTTATATATAAAAAGTGCAAGTCTGTTGTGACAAGTTGAGCTATGCCTCTGCACTATATTTCATTTAATTTTTGCACAGTTTGCAGGGAGTTCTAGAGATGATGCCATTTACTTTATTAAACAAGTATCTAATCAAAGTTGTAAGGCAGCATCCTGGTGTACAAGGATATAAAAAATGGCAATACACCACCACTTTCCCCTGTCAAACTTAATTCTGTTAATACAGCTCACCAGCCGCAAACATAATTGGCAATATGCAAAAAAGCCACAGGGGAATCAAGTTATCTGAAAACATTTTATGTTGCGAGCATCTTGTTTTGATTAAATGTCTGCACTAGGATCTTTGAATCATCTACTTTTAAACAAAACAATTTACAAGTATTTATATTTGAATTCATTAACGTACCCTTTTTTCATACAGAGTTGAAGAAAGCTTTAAGACCTTATTTTGGTCAATTTTTGGCTTATCGGAGGTCACGTCAGTTGTCCTCAAATATGACCACAAATTCATTGAGAATATTGGCTACGTGTTGTATGGAATATACAACGTAACAATGGTTGTGGTTTTACTCAACATGCTGATTGCCATGATCAACAGCTCCTATCAAGAAATTGAGGTGGGTACTTTTCTGCTTTATTTTGCCCACCCACCCTGCAAAGATTTGTTCTGTATATACTGTTTCTCAGCTTACCATAACTGCTTAGACCAGGCATAGGCAAGCTTCGGCCCTCCAGATGTTTTGGACTACAATTCCCATCATCCTGACCACTGGTCCTGCTAGCTAGGGATCGTGGGAGTTGTAGGCCAAAACATCTGGAGGGCCGAAGGTTGCCTATGCCTGGCTTAGACCCTAAGGTATGTTAACGTAAGAAAGTTCATGGAAGGAAAGCTTCCCATTTCCTCTTCCTCCCTTCAGCTACTGTCACCCCCCAGCTATAAAGTGTTGTAAAAATAAGGATAAAGCTATCAATGGCTACTAGGCATGATAGTCAGAAACTGTATGCTTAAGAATCCATCCATCCATCCATCCATCCATCCATCCATCCATCCTCAGTGGTCAAAGCCACTGAGCCTCTTGGGCTTGCTGAGCAGAAGGTCAGCGGTTCAAATCCCCACAATGGAGTGAGCGCCTGTTGTTCTGTCCCAGCTTCTGCCAACCTAGCAGTTCAAAAGCACACCAGTGCAAGTAGATAAATAGGTACCACTGTGGCGGGAAGGTAAGCGGCATTTCCGTGCACTCTGGTTTCCATCACAGTGTTTCATTGTGCCAGAAGCGGTTTAGCCATGCTGGCCACATGACCCGGAAGGCTGTCTGTGGATAAACGAAGGCAAGATGAGCACTGCAACCTCATAGTCGCCTTTGACTGGATGTAACCATCCAGGGGTTCTTTACCTTTTTTTACCTGCTTATGAACACCAGTTGTTGGATACTTCAATGGGGGAGAGTCGTCTTGCGTTTGGGTCTTGCTTGCAGGCTTCCTGTAGGCATCAAATTGGTCAATGTGAGAACAAGATCCTGGACTAGACAGACCAGTGTCATGATGCATGATTCTGCTCTTGTGACCTCATATAAAAATTAATAGTGAGATAACTTCACACTCCATTTCTGTACATATTTATTTCCAGCATTTAGCTACTGCCCCATCACACAAAAATCCTTTGGGAGGTTTACAAATGAAAATTAAAACCATAAAATATAATTATACATTATCTCTGTGTTAATAAGAACATAGGAGAAGCCCTGATGGGTGAGAGCAAAGGTTAGATTTTCAAATTCTCTGTAAGCATAACATGTTTTCCAAAATTGAATAAATACAAATGTGCCTGATTTGCATAATTATTATGACCTGAGTCCCGGGAAACAGGAGATTTACTGTAACAACATAGACACCCCGCCTCCACCTCACATAATTAATTTTGTGATTCTGATAAATAATTATGTCACATTCTATCAACACAGTCATCTTTGCTGTGTCAACAGGACTCTGTGGTGCTGCTGCTTACATTAATATGAAAACAAATACTAAAGGGTCTTTAGAACCTGATTTATTGTAACATAAGCTTTTGTAGATAGCTTACTTAAGATCCAGGAAGTATCAATTTCAGTTTGAAGATATATCCATGTATACTTGGTTGGATCAAAACATGCATTTCTGTGAACAGAGAGTCTTGCTAACAAAAAGGGGTGTGAGACAATTTTTGCCAGTTCGCCGCCTCCTCTATTTAAAAAGGTTAATATCTGGTGAGAGTTGGTGAAAATGCATTCTGGGAGTGTGTTATAATGACTAAACTGCATTTCCAAATATTAATTATTCAGTGTGTAACCTAAGCATCTTTTTCTGCTTACCATATTTAAAGCTTGCTTCTAATCCTAGGTGCATATTAGAAATACGTAGGTGTTTATTCTAAAACAGCCAAGGCTGTACTTAACATCTGCAGGGTGTCAGGTTTTCAAAGAGGGCTAATGTGCATTACTTAATCAATTACTGATAGCCACATTTTTTATTCCAGAAAGCGCCTTATTCAGCAGGACTGCAAAACACATCATTAAAAAAATTAATCATATCATCCTGGATGTTTATGTTCTAAACACAGTGCAGTTGAAATAGATAATAGTATATTTTACATGTATATAAGATGTAGGCATGCTTGGCAAATAACTCCACTAATCTTGGTTCTCAAGAGAAACTTCCAGCACTGTAGTGTTATTTTTTAGTATACCGAATAATTAAGAATGTTATGCATCCTGGGAAATTCGAAGAAAGTTCAGTATGTTTTCAGACTAATTGACTGCTTTCTTTTTAATTTTATTGATTAGATTTTTATCCCACTCTTCTTCTAAGGTACTTATTGCCCTATACATGTTTCTCCTCTTCTGCATTTTATCCTCACAACTCTGTGAAGCAGGTTAGGCTGAGAGAGAGTGATTGGCTCATGATGATCCAGTGAGCATCGTGGCTTAATGGGGATTTGAACCCCATTCCCCACTGTCCTGGCCCATCGCTCTTATTGATACAACACTGACTCTACATATGTTGCAAACAATGGTATTTTACAGTGTTGAACCTCCTCAGACCGTTTCTTCAGTTTAGCTGTGGGGAACACGTCCAAATAACTCTGCATTGTTAATAGGTTTATTTTTATTACTTAGAATTATAGCTCTCTCTATTGCATTATCCAGCTCTTGAATGACTGTGGGTTTCTATTTAGAGCAACAGAGTTTCAGACTGAGAGAATCTCCCCAAGAAATTTGTGTTCTGGCATGGGGCTTGTGTTGTTGTTGGGTTTTTTTTTAAAAAAATCCTACTAGGCAGGGCTAAATTTGTGGAAGTACGTAAGTCACTCTTTGGATATCAGCCATACTCTTGTCCCAAGAGTACTGAAAAGAGGACGACGAGATTCAAGGACTTGGGAGTCATAGAATATAGTGGGGGGGGGGAGGAAACAGGTTGCAATCCTAAGCATACTTATTAGGAAGTAAGTCTCATTTTATTCAGTACATCTGGGTAAAGATGTTTATGATGAGACGGAGAGAATTGGGAAAAGGTGAACTTTGGACAAAACAAAAGTGAATATTTAATGCCAGCAGTAGCAGCACATAACCAGGAGACTCCATACTTCAGAAGATTGCCCTCCAACTTGTGGAGGGTGTTCAGAACAAGGATGGTGTGTATGTGGAGCTACGGTGCTAGATCCTGCAGAACTTCCTCCTACCCCAGAACGTTTACTGAACATTACCAGAGAGCACCTGAAGTGTGAGCACCACTGGATATGCCTAAAACCTGCCACTTCCTTGCAGGATACTTCATATAAGTCACTGGAGAACAAGTATGGCTTGAGGGACTTTGGTAAAGAAAGGGAGGACTCTGTAATCCTGAAGATCAGAGTGTGGTGTGATCACACTCGTGCTTCTCAGTAAACCTTGTTTTACCCAGGAGACAGAGCAGGGAGTGTAGTCCTTTGTTCTTCCTTCTTCCTACTAGTCAGTGGCGTAGCGTGGGGGGTGCAGGGGGGGCCGGCCGCACCGGGCGCAACATCTGGGGTTAGGGCAAATCCACAGGTTAGGGGGCGCAAATCCACGGGTTAGGGGGCGCAAATCCACGGGTTAGGGGGCGCAAATTACTTGCCTTGCCCCGGGTGCTGACAACCCACGCTACGCCACTGCTACTAGTTATTCACTGATGTTTCTGTTTCTTGCCTCTTCTCTTTTCATCTTTTTTATAATTGAAATTGCTTGCTTGTTATTCATGTTTTTATCCAGTAAGGCACTTTATGTGTCCCTGCACAGAAAAGTGGGGTAAAAATAATGTGCAGTCGAGTAAGACTATTCAAAAATAAATGAATGGACATTTCTTTGTTCCCAACGTAGGATGACAGTGATGTGGAGTGGAAATTTGCTCGCTCTAAGCTCTGGTTATCATACTTTGATGATGGGAAAACCCTGCCGCCTCCATTCAGTCTTGTCCCAAGCCCCAAGTCTTTTGTTTATTTCTTTATAAGGATCATTAAGTTATTTAAGTGCAGGCGGAAAAGACTACAGAAGGATATGGAACTGGGAATAGGCAACTCAAAATCCAGGGTAAGTGCAAACAGACTCACTCTGTTTCATGGAACATTATTTTTTAAGCTTTTGCTATTTCTTGAACTCTAAGTAATGGTTTGCACTGATGAAGTATGCATTGCTGATCACATTGTAGGGTCTTTTCCATGGCACTCCAGATGTTGTTGGACTACAGCTCCCATCATGCTTGATAATTAGCCATGCTGACTGGGGCTGATGGGCATTGGAGTATAGTAACATCCAGAGGGCCATAGGTTCCCATCTCTGGTCTTCTACATAGTAGGGAAAGAACCAAAATATGGAGTAATGAAAATAACCAAAGTATGTCTGCATCCAATCTCACATAGAGACATAAATGCCCCATGTGAGGGAGATGGCTGGTGAGAGCTGAATTGTAAGCTATATCATGGAAAACTGATTGTACCCCACAAGAAAACAGATGTATATGGGGCATTGCAAACAAATAAGGCCTTTTCCCTTTCCAGCAAGCCCCTTTTGTCATGCAATCCCTGTGGCATTATTGGGTGAGTTAGCAGAATCAGACCTTGTTATTGCGAGTGTGTTATGGGGGGGGGGCTATTGGAAGCATCCTCTCTCATTCAGTTCCATCATACCTTTTCTTTCCAGGGTTAATTTCTGGCAAAACCAGATTCCCAGTCTCTGGAATAGTTTATAGGGATGCATGTGTATCAGAGTTGGCCCGCCTTGGGCAGTGAAATTCTGCCAGGTGGCACCCCTTCTAGTGCACTGTCCCTGCTGCCACATGACCCTGGTATGCGAGGCTTTGGCAGAGGGGCAGTGGCAGAAACTTCGGTTTCAGTTTTGTCAGTATTCCTTGCACTGTTGTTTATTTTAATACGATGCTAATCTTAAATTATGTAGGTGGCGCTGTGGGTTAAACCACAGAGCCTAGGACTTGCCAATCAGAAGGTCGGCAGTTCGAATTCCCGTGACGGGGTGAGCTCCCATTGCTCGGTCCCAGCTCCTGCCCACCTAGCAGTTCAAAAGCACATCAAAGTGCAAGTAGATAAATAGGTACCGCTCCAGCGGGAAGGTAAACTGTGTTTCTGTGCGCTGCTCTGGTTTGCCAGAAGCGGCTTAGTCATGCTGGCCACATGACCCAGAAGCTGTACACCAGCTCCCTAGGCCAATAAAGCGAGATGAGCGCCGCAACCCCAGAGTCGGTCACGACTGGACCTAATGGTCAGGGGTCCCTTTACCTTTACCTTTAATCTTAAATTAGTACATTATAATATTTTACTTCTCGAATCTTCTTTAGCCTGGCCACAATCTCAGCGCTTGGGGAGCTAGCAGCCAGTGCAACTAGTCTTTAAGTGTGTGGAATGTTGAATTTGTCTTCCATACTTGATTCCAGTTCAGAGAATAGGTAAAATACATATTCTTATCTGAGCACATCCTTGAAGTTGAGAATAAATACATGCACAAGTAGTTTGTGGAATCACAGATCAGCTTGTTTCTTTCAGAATGTTTTTGCTGAAAAATATACATTTCTGTAATCAGTTAGTAATAAAGCAATGCCAGATTACAGTTGCAAATTCCATGGAAAATATTCTGATTTTAGATTTATTCTTTCCTAGCTCAATCTCTTTTCTCAATCCAACTCGAGGGTTTTTGAATCACACAGCTTTAATAGCATTCTCAATCAGCCAACACGCTATCAGGTGAGTGGTTAGTTGGGCAGTACATGCAGCCATGATTATCTAAATAAATTACAAGTTTCCATGCAGCTCTGAAGTTGGACTGCCAATTCACAAACAAATATTTTGTGACAGATCTGTTAATCGCTTAGCACAGAGCTTGCAGGAAGGAATCGTTTTCCTGCTTGCTGCTATTTTCACTGCTCTGATGCCAAATCCCCAAATGACTTATTAAAACTTGGGTGAGTTTCGAGGTTGTGTTGCAGAAACTGCTGGGAGAAAATGCTGAGAAATGTGCCAGCAAATTTATTGCTGATAAGCTGCACACCCCTGGACTGTAGCCCACAGTGATTTCACTCAGGAATATTCAGTTAATTAATTGAATGGTTCATTTTAATTAATTGACCTAACTCACGAGTAAGTGCATTTTGTATATCTGCATTATGAAAAACCTTTAGAATCATCAAAATTTCAGATTCTGGCCATCACACCAACCACCCATATACAAGAGGGAAGTATTAGGAGGCTTGGGAGAACATAAACATTTGGATCAGCTTTTTTTGGGGGGGGGGGAGCCCTAAGGGTAGCAGGAAAACATTAATTATTTTTTTTAACTTAGTGAGAACAGATAATGCTCAGAGGCTGCCAAACCCTTAATTATTGGTGGTGGTGGACCCTGGAAAATCAGGGGGTGAGGAATAGAATGGTGTGTTCTGGAAAAGGGCCATGTTATCTGACTGGAATTCTAAACAGAAACACTATGTATGCTGTAACAACGTGTTGCAAGCCCAATTTGTATTATTAAATGGAGAATGGAACAATTTCAGTTGTAAAACCTTAGATTCGGCTGATCAAAAGCTGGCACAGAAGGCTGAAAAGGTTAAGGCATAGGATGTGCTTTTGACTGTCTTTCTCAAAGTCCAGGCCTGCGGGTTCAAAGAAAAACGAGTTATAGCGCTGAAAGAACAGATTCATCAACATCATTTTAAAGCACCAGTTGTGTTGAATGCTAAGCTTACAGAACACTGTTCTAACAAAAGGTCAGAATGCAAGATAGACCATATTGAAAGCATCCAGGAGAGTGATGGAACATGAATAATTTAAATACCAATCTGCATAAACAAACACAAGCATATTATTCAGATACAGTGATATGAAAGATTTTTCCCATGCCCTTCTCTCTCCCTCTCTCCCTTTTTCTCTCCTGTTGACATAAGTCTGACCTTGAGCCATAGAATACATGGGATTTTTATTTTCTGAATTGGAAATGCAGACCAGCTCTGCAGTGACTGCTATGATTGCGTACAAGGGAGGGGAGTATGAATACTGGCCCAGCTTTACAATTCCTGACAGCAGTCCTGGAAAAAAAATATAATTTCTCCCCACTCACAGAAATGGCATGTGATGTGAGCACGTTTTTGTTTGCTTGTTTTTTGTCCAGTGGACAAAAGGGTTACAAATGAAGCCAGAAACATGTGGAAACAACAACACCATTAAGATCTCTGTAGAGACCTAGCTGCATTGGCCCCTATACTGGGACTTATTTATTATTTAATTCATTGAGAGGAGGCAACTTCCCGGGCTCCTGACTCTGTATTGTACATACCAATGAGAGCAGATAACATTGTGAAACTGCCATAATGTTGCTTCTCGCTGAAGCCTTTGTCAGTTGCCCCTTTGCCATCACTGGGACGCGGGTGGTGCTGTGGGTTAAAGCCTCAGTGCCTAGGACTTGCTGATTGAAAGGTCAGCGGTTCGAATCCCCGCGACGGGGTGCGCTCCTGTCGCTCGGTCCTAGCGCCTGCCAACCTAGCAGTTTGAAAGCACCCCCGGGTGCAAGTAGATAAATAGGGACCGCTTACTGGCGGGAAGGTAAACGGCGTTTCCGTGTGCTGCGCTGGCTCGCCAGATGCAGCTTGTCACACTGGCCACGTGACCCGGAAGTGTCTGCGGACAGCGCTGGCCCCCGGCCTCTTAAGTGAGATGGGCACACAACCCCAGAGTCTGTCAAGACTGGCCCGTATGGGCAGGGGTACCTTTACCTTTTACCTTTGCCATCACTACAAGAAAGACCTGAAAGAAAGGCGTGGCAGTTTATCTTCATCCCATAACATGAATGCTCTACTTCCTGCTTCCAATGTTCCAACCACGTAGGCACGAATGCCTTCCCCCAAAATTCAGTTCTGCAAGCTGTAAGGGACTCGAGTGGTTCATTCTGCCCCTCCATTTTCCCTTTCAGTATTTTCTAAGTAACACTCAGTGTTCTATGGCTCAAGCTCAGCCATTGTTGGGCTGTTTTGGGGAGATTAAACTCCTTTTGGGGTGTATGCACGTACTTTTTTTGGAACTTCTTTTGGCACTTATGATCTCTTAATGCAGTGGTTTTCAACCAGTGCCATGGCACCCTGGGGTGCCTTGAATGATGGTCAGGGGTGCTGCGGGCAACACTTGCCTCTGCCCCTCTTTTCTTCCCTCCCTCCTCTGATGCCCTCTTGCATCCCAAAGGCTTGCAAAGCTGTTTGTTGCAGCAGCGCTGGCTACTAAACCCCCAAACTTGGCCTTCCAGCTGTTTTGGGACTACAATTCCCACCATCCCTGACCACTGGTCCTATTAGCTAGGAATGATGGGAGTTGTAGTCCCAAAACAGCTGGAGGGCCAAGTTTGGCCATGCATGCTAGGCGAATGGTGCCTCTGGGGCTGGCCAGGGGATGCTGGTTGCCAGGAGCTGAAGTGGCCTTGGAGTAAGCATGCCAGCAGGCAAGGGAGCCCATCCTGTCAGCCAGTCCACCAGCCCTTGCTGTTTGGAATGGAGAGACAAGTCCCAGGCCCCTGTGGGGCAGTGTAAGGAGGTACCTCTCTTTGGGGCAGGGGGCACAGCTCTGAGATCAGGGGCGGCAGCAGCAGCTGACCGGAGGACTCCCAAGGAGAGGGGAGAGGAATCTGTGGGAACACTTCCCAAGGGACAGTGTTCAAAAAGGTGTGAGGGGCTGCCAGCTCTGCAGGCCAGGGGTGACATAACTTGGCTCCTGAGCCCCATAGGGGTGCCACAGAAATAATGTAGTTGGTCAGGGGAGGCGTGGACTCAAAAAGGTTGAAAACATCTGTCTTAATGAATTCATAGGCTGACTTTCTACCAAAGTGCACAAGGCTGACATACAATAAATACAGTACTAAATAAGATAAAAATAGGGAGCCAGTGTGGTATAGGGGTTAAGAGTGTGGCACTAAGACCGGGGAGACCAGAGTTTCAATCCCCACACAGCCATGAAGCTCACTGTGTGACTTTGGGCCAGTCAATGCCTCTCAGCCTAGCCTACCTCACAGGGTAGTTGTAAGGATAAAATGGGGGTGGAGAACAATGCCCAATCTCCTTGAGCTCCTTGAAGGAAAGGTGACCTATATATGTAATAAATAAACAAATAAACAACAAAAAATGCCTCCTAAAACATAACCAATTTACAAGCTGAAACACACTCATCAGTAGGAGCCCTGCATCTGCCCTAGTTCTTGACGCCTTATCCTTATACTACAAACCATTAACTCTAATGGATGAGGTAGATAATAATAATAATTTAAAAACCCAGTGCCGCTACAAAACCTCCTTGCCTGGGTTTTCCAGAGTAATCAAGTTGCAGTTACATAATCCTTGTCTTGCAAAGTCCCAGACACGGTGCCAAAACACAACTGAACAGGAAGTGTTTTGTCACAGTCAGTGTATACTGTCCCCTTCTCTATGCTTGTTCATGGGTGATAACCTTCCTCTTGTTTCTGCTTTGGCTCTTGGCACAGGGGCACTGTGTTTGAGGGAGTGGTTTGACTTGAAGAAGTCATTCCCGCACAAAATGCCCCACCTCACGATTAACAAGGTGGGATTCAATGAGCAACCTTTGCTGACACCTTGTGGTGAACAGGGGTTGCAGCCCTGAGAGGGACCCCAAAGGTTGCAAGGTTTGTTATTACATATTTTCAGGAAGAAATGAGTGTATGACAGATATTCAGGGTCCTTCTATTTACTGAAACAGGCAGGCATGTGCTGCTGTATTATATCTGGTACTATCCATGTCTAGTTGGGGCAGGGGAGAGGAATTAAATGGCTCTGTGTGGCGTTTTGTAGGGTCGGGATCCCTTCCAGTCTGTGTAGCTCTGTGAGTTGTATGTGTGAGAAAGAATTGATTGTACTGTTACCTTTATGACATTCAAAACATTATGAAATCATAAACAGTTGTGGTGTTGTTGTTTTTCTCCAATAGCAAATCATGAAGAGACTTATAAAACGTTATGTTCTGAAAGCACAAGTAGACAAGGAAAATGATGAAGTCAATGAGGGTAAGAGCTACTGCAGACTTCTTAATATACTTGTACAGCAGGAAGACTCTGAATGCTGTCCCAAAAATGTAACTACAGAGTCAGATCATAGTGCAGTAACTGGTACACTTAGTGCCTTTTATCATCACCTCTTATTTTGCTGCCCACAGCACTTTTATCAAGATATGAGTATTGGGCACCTTTGCCATTACACACACAAAAAGCACTACCTATACCACAACTACAACTATAGTTACTACCAGATGTTTTAGCAGAAATTGGGAGCAAGTCACACAGCAACTGTAGAAACATATATCATTTTATTTTTTTGAGGTGAGGCTAATTCTTGGTTCACCAGAAACTTACATAAACTCTCTGCTGAAGCAGGTGTCATTTATTCACTTTTTACAATTCATTCAACAAATTTTATATATCGCTGGATGGTAAACAAAGTTCTAAGTGGTTTGCAAAAATATAAAGTAAGAAATTAAAATTGTCAAGTTAAAAGCAGGCATTTCAAAATATGTATCATGTTAGCCATCTGTTGCACTGAATTCGTGTATGATGTCAGGATATGGGAAAGTGGCTGTCCTTTGCCCAAAATGGCCTGGAGTGCCTGACTAGGCTGTGGGCTAGAAGTAGCCCACCACTGGTATGGATTATTTACAGACAATGCTGCTCCCCACCCACTGCCCCCAAAATGTTATTATATGACATTTGGAAAAATAAGCGAGCTTCTTCAGACTCAACACAGAAAACACATGAAAAGATTCATGGATGGGGAACCTGTGGCCCTTTCGATGTTGTTGGATTCCAACTCCTGTTAACCCTGACCATGGGCCAGGCTGGCTGCGAGTGATGGGAACTGAAGTCCCACAACACCTAGAGTGCCACAGTTTCCTTATCTGATTTAATTGGTGCCTTGAAGGTTAAATAAATAAGTAAATAGCTAGCAGAGAAGGGGAGTCTTTGAAGGAAACCTTCACTGGTGGAAATGAAAATACTCTCACATTTTCTTACAGGGAGGATGTTAATATGCTTTCAAAAAGTAATTCCCAAATGTGTACTATGGGGAAAAGGCAGATTGGAGACTAAGAAATGCACTTAAAATAGAATGCATTGATTCACAGATGACATTAAAAAAACAACAACCCCTCAGGAAACCTGAAATATGATTGAAAATCCACTTTTGTACATATGTGGCCACTGGCTGATTTAAAAACTTAATACAGGCATACTTAAAATTGCCTTTCATAAATGTGCACTCATAATAGAAGAAAGGCTCAGAAGCTATTTAAATGGCACAGGTGAAGTAATCTGTCTGAAGCTTAAGAAGGCTTTGCCGATAGCCATCTCCTATTCCAAACTGGAATAGGTTAGAGTCTTTAGTTATGAAAGATAATGTGATGGGGGATTAATGCTTTGAGTGAAGGTTTCGATCTGCAGAAAAACCCTTCAGCAGCCAACTTACCCTCCAGAGATCTGGAGAATGCGAGAGAGAGAGATCCTTGCCTCTTTGGCTCCCAGGGTAAATATTTAAAATCATGAACCTGCCTCAGTCCAAACTCATGAAAATCTGTATGGAGGAAGCAACCCCAGGGGTTCTTTTTATTTGTCAGCTTATTGTAGGGGACATGGACATGTTTTCCCTGTAAAATCTCTTGAGCTAAATTAAACTTCTGTGAACAAATTGAAGATGAATAGTTGCATGTGAATGCTTTAAACTAATTCTGTAGAGCTGTAAACTCTGAACGGCTTTATTTTTGAATTGGACAAAATAAAGTAGTTTAAGACAAAGCAGCTAAAAATACTTAAAACCCCAAATACCAGTGGTAGTGACCTTTAAAAACATATCCACGTGAGCTGAATTCTCTTCTAAAATTAGCTAAGAAAAAATATGTGACCTTAATACCTCAAGGATGTTGCTTTGCTGCTGTAAGATATGAAGTGTTTGTAAGAGTATGGGAAATACAATGAATGCTATTTGTCATTTTTGGCTTAGAAGCATGAGAGTTGCATCTTAGACCGTCAAGAGAATAAAAGCATACTTACATTTTTGTTGAAGCTTATTTCTTCCACACATCACATGAAGACCACACACACAGAAAAGTGAATTGCAGTCCTTTAAAATGACCCAGTTACATTTATTTCAATCCAGTTTCTAATGTCTTGTTAGTCTACTGTTATATATATTGAGGACTGATTGGAATGGACAGTTTTTGAATTTTGCTATTAATTCTTCCCTTTGCGCAACCTTGAGATTCCTCATTTTTTTCCTCAAATGTCATACTTCTCAGAGCTGATGTTGGTTTCAATAGGTGGTGTATGCTAAGCATGACCAAGTCTGGATGCAACCCAGTGTATTTAACAGTCAGAAATTTGAATAATAAATTATTATAGCAGAGGTACTCCATTTGATAATGCATTTTTCATGTGGATCTCGCCAAAGCTAAGCACCAATAAGTTCCATTAGATCAAAATGGGAGCATCAAGCATTTCGGGGGGGGGGGGATGTAAAGCATTAATTTCAACCACTGAAATTAATAGCAATGTAAAAGTGATTAACTTTGGCTGGATTGTGTCCTGTGTTCAAAATGCAGTTAAATAATCAAACAGATAGAGGACACATCATTGCTTATTATCAGCCCCACCAGTTCAAAGAAGAATACAACAAAAGCTTTAAGTAATCTAACTTAATAGTTCAATAAAGCTTGCAGTCATAATGGAAATAAAAATAGATAATAATAATAAATTGTCCAGTAGCACCTTACAGACCAACTTAGTTTGTTCTGGTATAAGCTTTTGTGTGCATGCACACTTCTTCAGTCATAATGGAATTACTTATGTAAAGCAGCTCCTTATATAATTCATCAGCATAGGTTTAAAACTTAAGAATATAAAAAGAATCTTATGGATCAGGGCAGTGAGATATCTATGCCAGCATCCTGTTGTCAGTTGCCAACCAGATGCCTATTGTAAGCCTGCAAGCAGGACCTAAGTAATAATAATATTATAATAATTTATTATTCATACCCCGCCCATCTGGCAGGGTTTCCCCAGCCACTCTGGGTGGCTTCCAACAAAATATTAAAATACAATGGTCTGTTAAACATTAAAAGCTTCCCTAAACAGGGCTGCCTTCAGATGTCTTCTAAAAGTCTGGTAGTTGTTTTTCTCTTTGACATCTGGTGGGAGGGCCTCGGTGCCACTACCGAGAAGGCCCTCTGCCTGGTAGTATCCAGTACTACTTCAAATGCTTGGTCTTTGTAAGCTTCTGTCAACAACTTTCTTTTTACTAATTACACAGGTGAACTTAAGGAAATTAAGCAAGATATCTCCAGTCTTCGCTATGAACTCCTTGAAGACAAGTCTCAAGCAACAGAGGAGTTGGCAATTCTCATCCATAAACTCAGTGAGAAACTCAACCCAAATTTAACGAGATGTGAATGATCTCAAATCCCTGGATTTTGACCACAGCACAAGTATTGGCAATAATATTTATGAGTGACTTATACTTGAAAATGTATTGTAGATTTTTAGCACTAAATAACTTTATGTACAGCTTTATTTGAAATACAGTCTTAGAAGATTTTATGAATTTACATGCAAAAAACCCAGTTTATTTAATGTGTATTATAAAGGATATTTTGCATTTATTTAATAAGGTGCAATTGTATCTAAACAATCTTGCATTGCAAATAGTTTTATCAATAAAATGTATATCATTTGCACTGAACAAAGAAAAAACAACACTGAAGACTAGGGCTGCAATCCTAAACCGGTTTACTAGGGAGGTAAACAAGTTTAGGATTGTACTGCATATGTCCTCCACCTCCACCATGCTGATGGGAGATGTAGTAACCAAAATAAAGCCAGCTCAGTGAAAGACTACTTGAAAGTACTTTGCATATGATCCAGTTAAAATTAAAGCACGTTGAACTCCCATTGATTTCAGTGGCATGCGCTTCTCACACTGATGTAAAAAACAAACACAGCACAATCCTGTGCATGTTTCCTTGGAAGCAAGTCCCCAACGTTTAGTGGGCCTTAGATTGCAATCTTATACATGCTTCCACTCAACTCACTGGAGCTTATTTTGGAGTGGACACGTATAGGATTGCACTGCTGCTTCCTAGTATGGATACTTGGACTAACCTTTTTAAGTGCTTAACTTTCACTGGATCACACCCCTTGATTTATCAGCTTTCTTAAGAAACAAGCCATGGCATGGACAACTGAATGTTTAATAGTGAAGATAAAAATGCGGCTATAATAGTAATAGTGCCGTTAAAATTACCTATACCTATATAAGTTTGCATATTTGCTTTCAGAATAGGAAGTATTTTTTTTTTACTTCTAACTAATGTGAACTGTCAAAATATACATTTTCATGTGGTGAAGATGATTTTTTAAAATTTAAGATACTATGCAGGGCTGATATTTTGTTACATTTGTTCTAAATAATGCCTCTGATGCGTACTTGTTAAATAAAATATTCATACTTTATTGACTCTTATTTTATTTTTAATACTATGTCAGTAGTGAGTAGGAATGCTTAGGCACATTGAGGGGAAGGGGATGGATGGAGGATTGGTGCAAACAACCTGGAACTACAGGGCTGAGGAATTGGTTTAATGCAGGGCATGGGAACAAAAGAAAATCAGTCAAATCTGGAACTGCGGTCCTCTAGTACAGGGGTGTCCAAATTTTTTCAAAGAGCCAGATTTGATGAAGTGAACATGCGTGAGGGCTGACCATTATGCCTTACATTCTTTGAACCACTAAAATTAAATGCAAATTGTTAAAGTTCATAGCAGAGAATGTCTTCTCACACAAATATGTTGGGCCAAACAAGCTCGGCATTTTCTTAGCCAATGTTCGAATCTCTTGAAACCGGCTCTTATCCAGTTGGCGGTAAAAGTTCACAAGAGAGAGCTGTTGGGGACGACTAAGTAACTCAGTGTCACAATGCAGCTCAATGAGCTCGAGCTGCAGCTGATCTGGAGCATCATTGGGGTCAACAGAGAATGGAGAGGAGAAAAGGCTGATCTCCTTTTCAATAGCAGCAAAATCCTGAAAGCGCTGTTTAAACTCCCCAGCCAGAGATGCAATGTCTGCTGCATACCTGCTCGTTTGCGCACTGATATTGTCCTGTGGAAAACTGTTCATTATTTCCTGCAACACTGAAAAATGTATGGTATTGGGCTGTGTTTATGACAATTGCCTTTGGAAAAGTTGCAGCTTTGTTCCAAAGGCTTTGAGGTGTGAATAAAGCTGGTTCACCGCTGCATCTTTCCCCAAAGACTCGTGTTCATTTATGCCCGTAACATAAGTGTGTGGGAGAAGGAGACATGGCTAGGCTTCATTTTGAGATTCCACTTCCAGGTGCGCTGCTGGGAATGGGACAGTTCCAGAATCTTGTAAGAGGCACACACACACACACACACACAACAACAACAACAACCCTCCTAACTTTGCCTTCTCCTCAGCCCCATTGCTTCCATGCCTTTCCCGTCAGCAACCTTGGCTCGGATCTAAGGGGCAGCCGAGAATCTTAACTTCTCTTCTCAGTGGGCCAACGCCAACCCCCTGGCTGACAGCCTCGGAGAAGGTGGGGGGCATTGGCAATAAGGATCTGCAAGCCTTCCCAGTGAAAGCCAGTGTGGTGTAGTGGTTAAGAGCGGTAGATTTGTAATCTGGGGAACCGGGTTCGCGTCTCTGCTCCTCCACATGCAGCTGCTGGGTGACCTTGGGCCAGTCACACTTCTCTGAAGTCTCTCAGCTCCACTCACCTCACAGAGTGTTTGTTGTGGATAAAGTGGGATATCAAATCCAAACTCCTTCCCCTCTCTTAATTTCCCCCTCGGTGTTCCTCACCGCCACAACATCCGTTCGTTCTTTTAAAAACCTCGCCTGCTTGGGGTGGCAGATGCTGGCGACATCGTGACCTCCCCCTCCCCACCAGCCCAACCCACCAGCTGCCAGACTCCATCCCAGCTGCCTAGCTGCTCCATCCAGGTGCCCAGATGCCTCTCTCCCTGGTCAGATTCACCTGCCTAGGGCAGCACAGAGCGCGGGGAGGCGGCGGGACAGAGGCCCGGGTGGTCCAGCGGGCGGTATAAATAACATTATCTGGGCTGTCCCAGCTCAGATAGCCCTGCTCCAGGGGAGGGAACAGAGGGAAGGGCGGGAGGAGGCGCCTGCCCTGCAATGCAGCACAGCGGCACCGCCCCCCCCCGGCCACTGTAGCACTTTTTGTGTGCAAGACCTCTTTTGTTTTTATGCAAGATGTGTTCGCCTTTCCCCGCGGGATGAGCAGCACCGCGTCGCCATGGGGATCCTCTTGCTTTCCTAGATGACTTTCGACTCCTCCTCGGCATCACCTTGCAGCCATCCTTAGCACCAATCCCGCAAGCGGGATGACTATGTAACTAGATGGGCAAGTTCCTTGCTCAATCACAGGGCGCGCGTTCCAAGCGGAGCCCGCCTCCTCCCTTCACGCCGTGTCCAATTGAATTCCGGCAGCGGCGCGCGCGTAGTCCGGTCGCGTTACCATGGTGACGCGGGGCCTGGCGTGAGCTTTTAGGCCTCGCGGTGATGTTTGTGTGGTGAAAAGCAGAGCCCGGGACGAGGGAAGAGGCATAACGGTTTGCTTTTCTTAGAAGCGCGGGAGGCTCGCCGCCATGGACCTGGGCCTGAGCCGGGTGGATTATCTGCAGGTAGATGGGGGTGGGTGGGCAGGTGGGCGAGGTTGCGTGTCCGTCAGCGAACCCCCCTGCTTCGCCTCGCGCGAGAACGAGAGCGACGTTCTTCGCCTCCCCCTGACGCTGTTGCGGACACGTGTTCCTTTCACAGGCGGAAATTCAACCGGTGATGCTGCCGCCCCTCCTCGTACTAAGATAGAGCTTCTTCACATTTCGAATAATTAAATGGCCTTGCGGCAAAGGCAGAGGAGCCGCCCTACCAGAAGGCAGGGGAGAGGAGGCAGGGCCGAGAGCGCCGCCGGCTCACCTGTGGCCCTCCGGGAGCCTCACTGCCCTCAGCTCCAGCCAGCAGGCCCGCGGGTCAGGCTAGATAGGAGTTGGAGAAGGGCCAGCATGGACCCTATCTCCAGGTAGGGCTTGGGAAATACTGGGACCTCGGAGTGCCACTGCCAGTCAGGGTCAACAGTATGAAGCTAGATGATGGACTAATGATTTGACTCGTGTTCCTATATCAGGCATAGGCAAACTCGGCCCTCCAGATGTTTTGGGACTACAGCACCCATCATCCCTAGCTAACAGGACCAGTGGTCAATGGGAATTGTAGTCTCAAAACATCTGGAGGCGGAGTTTGCCTATGCCTGTCCTATAGTCCAACAACATCTGGAGTGCCACACCTATGATTTAAGAGCAAATAGCCATCCGGATTCACCCCTCCTGTCAACCCCTTGGCTTCTAGATGTAGGAGTTGTATGGGTTTATTTGTTTTTATTTTTTTAAAAACCCCACCATAGTTCTGTTATTGAGGATGCTGCCATAGACAACTCTCAACATGGTGCGTTGAGAAAAGTGATGTCAAAGCAGAGGTTAATTTGAGATTAAGGTATGCAAGCTTTTAAGTGTCACACAGGTTTGTTTGTTTTTTGTCAGGAGGAGAGTGTGGGTCAGGTATTTGTTAGCTTTCTTCACAATCCCTTTATTGAAATAAATGGATATTCAGCTGTTGGTTTGCTGTGGCTTTGTTGCGCTTTGCTTGACAAAAATTGTGTTTTAACTTACTATTAAAACATGGAGCTGTCATGGAATAATAATAGAATGTAGAAAACAGTTTTTGTCCGTAGACATGCTTTTAAAAGTCTGGTTAAATATTAAAAAAACTAAATTATATTTATGGTTGATGGAGTGATTCCAAACAGATGTATCAGTATATCTTCTGTAGAACTAGGATGGAGTAACATCCTAGTATATAAATAAATAAATAAATAATCAGATTTAGTCTGCCATTCCCAAACCTGTTCACAACAGTCATAAAATACAACAGGACAACAGGAGAAGGTGGTAAAAGGTGTATTAATTCACTTCCTGTCCCTGATTCATGGCTAGCCCTTACAAGGCAGTTAACCTCACATGACTTCTCTGAAGACATTGCATATGCCTGGAAGTGCTCAATTGTGACCAAACTAAGCCCCCTAGAGTAAAATATACATCAGAAGGCTTAGTTTGGTCAGAATTGAGTTAAAGTAAAATACATTTATATGGTGGTAAATGAGCCACCATAGCTGCTAGAGGGCCGAGAAAATTTGTGCCTTGGCCTTTTTAGGCTCAGCTACTCATGTACTATCTGAAACCAAAGGGGTGCGTTGGTTGCCAGATGTGAATTTTTTTTCAATGCTCCTGCCCCACTATTAGAGCTTCTTTTTCATGCATCACTATATAGAGCTAAAATGATATGTGATAGACACAGCTATTGTACACAAGGGTAATAATTGGTAATAACACAACCACCGTTCTTCACTGTATTCACATGTATTTTAGCTTCACATAGAATCGTCACAGTCAGTATTTCTTGCATTTCATTATCCTTGGGCACTATTGACAGGTTTTTCTATACCTGTGTATATGTTTGTGTGGCAAGTGAAGACAGTCCGTGAAAGCTTGTGCTACAATATTGGCACAGTCCTATCCATGCTTTCTTGAATTTAAATTCCACTGTGTTCAGTGCAGCCTACTCCCTAGTAAGTGTTTTTATGATAATCTATAACAATTTATGACAACCATAAGTACCACAGGATCCTTTTTTGTATTGATTTTGCTGTTAGAAACACTACACTTATGACAAAATCTTAATATACCTTTTCATATTAATCATGTTAAAATAACTACTGTATTTTTCGCTCTACAACACGCACCTGACCATAACACGCACATCGTTTTTAGAGGAGGAAAACAAGGGAAAAAACATTGTGGATGTATCATTTTTGTGCTTCATGCTGTGGCCACAGACATGTGATCTGATGGTGAATTTGGGGTGACCCAATGCAAAAATCCTGAGAATCCCTGTGGATCCATGCTTTGTAACCACGTTTTTGCACCATTGCAGCCCCAGGCAACAGTGGGTGCATGATTTTTGGGGGGCAGGCTGTAGCCATGGACATGCTATGTGCTCTGATGGTGAATTTGGGGTGACCCAATGCAAAGATCCTGAGGATCCATGTGGATCCATGCTTTTTAACCACATTTTTGCACCATTGCAGCCCCAGGCAACAGTGGGTGCGTGATTTTTGGGGGGCAGGCTGTAGCCATGGACATGCTATGTGATCTGATGGTGAATTTGGGGTGACCCAATGCAAAGATCCTGAGGATCCATGTGGATCCATGGTTTTTAACCACATTTTAAGTGGGGAGGGAAGGAAAAACACAGAATGGACAAGGAGCAGGAGAGGGGTGTGCAGAGAAGCAGCTGGCTAAGAATGCAGGAGAGGGGGTATAACGGGAGGGAGGAAAGGAAGGCAAAAGTTTTCCCTCACCTACCCACCCAAGCCAACCAGCTCTCTCTCTCTCTCTCTCTCTCTCTCTCTCTCTCTCTCTCTCTCTCTCTCCCTCCTGCATGTTTTCACGGAGAGGAATTAGAATGAAGGACGATCCTTTCCTTTCCTCTCTGCTTGCCTGGAGGGGAGGGGCTTTCCCTGCTCTTTGTTCCGTTTGAGCAAACACAGCAAGGAAACAGAGGTGGGTGGGCAGTAAGACCCTGAGGCAGAATGCAGGAAAGCAGCCGCTTCCTCTTTTCAGGTTTCCCTTCTCCGAGACGCGCAATTTGATTTTTGCCTGATTTTTTTTGCCATTTGGCTCCAGGGACCACACATTCGCTCAATAACACGCACAGACATTTCCCCTTCCTTTTTAGGAGAAAAAATCTGCGTGTTATAGAGGGAAAAATACGGTACTTTGTATTGTTTGTATTGTGATACATGACAATCCATTTTATACCACAAGTTGAAGCATTAATAATGAAATGGTTTTCTCCCCCAATTAGGTGGGAGTGACATCTCAGAAGACCATGAAGTTGCTCCCTGCATCAGGACGTAAGGCCACACAGAAGGTATAGAAATTTGTTGTTTTCAAATATTTCTTTCTGGGAATGATTACATATACAAATTGTACTCTGATGACAAAATCATATAAAATTTCATTTTATCTAAGTCACAGAGCCATTCTCCTCAAAAGCTTGTAATGTAAGTGTTGATGGTGGAGCAGACAACATAAGAACGCAACATAAAAAAGATAGGAAAGAATGAATGCAAAAAGCTTTTTATACTTTTTGAGTTGGGAATGAAGACATTAAAGGCAAGTAATTTGTGTGAGAACCCAGAAATCACTGTAGGAATTTGAGGGTGGGTATTGCATGTTCTGAATGACAAAAGAAGTATAAAATCTGGCAACATATCTTTGGATAGAGGTGCATAGATTGAGTTGTTATGTGGGAAGTCTGTAGAGTAGATGGTTGTGTTGTCAAAGTAGGTCATAGCTTGAAAATGAACCAGAGTGGTAATAAAGAGAATAGCCCCAAAAGAAAAGGATATTCGTGGTATTGGGAAAACAACATAATTTGGTGACAGATTGAATATGGGAAATAAAGGAGAGGCAGAATTCAAAGGTGAAGCCAAAGCTTTGTGTTTGAACAACAAGCAGGATGGTGATATTGATGGATGTGAAGAGTAACTGAAAGGAGGGCAACTTGGAGAAGAAGACGATTTATCTTAGGCATACTGAGTTTTAGACAGTAAGGAAACATCCAAGTTGAAATATCAGATACACATTTGGAGATGAGTTAGGAAAAGTATGGATTACAGAGATATAGTTCTATATTTCTATAGATTTCTGAAATACATATAAATGTATTTCCTTTGCACTCTTAGATGACTAATGTAGACATAACTTTCTATTATTTTACTTTTAAGGTTGTTATTGGAGATAATGATGGTGTTGTTACCTGTTTCGGTATGAAAAAAGGAGAAGCTGTGGTAGGTAACTTCTCTATGTAGTTTTCAATTAATTCCCCGCCCCCCCATTAATTAATTGATAATGAAGCTTAGTTTACAGATAACATATGGACTTCTTAAAGCTCTTTATGGTATGCACTGGCTTGGGAAAAACATGCCCCCCAAATGTGTTTGTGCTTTATTCTAGACATTTTCAAAATAAAATGATACAACCACCCTAGGCATGCTGCAGGTGTGCTTCACTGTAGTAATTTGATTAAATTCTCTTGAAGAAGCTTCTCCCCACCGAATCCTCAAATGTCTTTTTGAATAGCAGTTATGTTGATTATAACATAGAGCTTGTTACTGGAAAACAAGGACCTACCATCATAATCTATGGCTGTGCTGTGTTGATTTCTCTATATTTTCCCTCTTCTATTATGCTAAGGCACTGAGGTCAGACTTTGGGTCACTTCACAAAGCAAGGTTTGATTTATGTGATGCTAGTGTAGGGCATTCTTAGCTCTGACCTTGGTCTTAAAATACTTGTGATGAAACCCTGTGGTGTCTGTTGAAGAAAACATACAAACTGTTCTTATTTGGCCGACTTTTCGGTATGAGCTCTTGTTTGGGTTTATTTGTGACCATTTATTAGCCAGATTTTGGAACATTTTGCAATTGTGTGTATGAACTTTGTGCTTTTCGTGGTAGAATCACACAAATAGCTAACTTTTTGAAATATACATATAGCATAAAATAATTAAAAGCATACAAAATGGAATACATATATATTTTGTATCTAATATCATATTATGATTTGTCGTGAACATTGGCACTGAACATTGTCTGTCTTCTTTTTTTAGCCAGTATTCAAGACCTTGCCAGGGGAGAAGATTGCAAGGCTAGAACTGGGAGGTGCTCTTAATACACCCCAGGAGAAAATTTTTGTGGCTGCAGGGTCTGAGGTTAGAGGTTTCACAAAGAAAGGGAAGCAGTTCCTTGCATTTAACACCAACCTCACTGAGAACATCAAAGCTATGTATGTATACTGGAAAATACATTAGTAACCTTATATGTGCTACTGTCATTTAGGTGCTAAATTGTTATCCTAATGAATGAAATAAGTATTTGTTACATTTTAGTGTCCTGTTTAACAATCACTTTATGTATTCTAATAGCCTTGAATCTTAGCATAAATTTTATTTGTGTATGGCTCTATATAAAGGTCTAGTTTCCATCCTGCACTTTTGCAACAGTAATTTTGCCCTCAGCGGTGTGCGTACTCAAGCACTGACTTTAATGAAAGTCATTAAAATAAAAAACACAGAAATTAGCTGAGTCATTAAAAGCTAATCAGTTTAATTGAAAGATAAGGTTGAAACAGTGCAACACTTTAGCTGATTCACAATTAAATTAAATCACAAATCAAATCTTCTTACTGCGTTTTCCAGAGTAATATCTGAACCTGTTGTGCATATTACTTTAATCTGCTGTAATTGATGCAAACCATAAGCTGGTTTGACATAATAAAGTATTGATAATTTAATTAAATGCTGATGTGCTGTACAATCTGTTGCTTTATTTTTAACCAAATTTTGGTGTGTATGATTGAAATTTAAGTGATACATTTTGTTATATAGTTGGAGTCAAATAATAGTTTTTAAGCAAGTTGAATGATAGCAGCATTGTTATCCTTGTTTGTTTGTAAAAAAATCATAGAACTGTAGAGTTTGAAGAGACCACTAGAGTCATCTAGTCCAACCCATTGCAATGCAGGAATATTTTGCGCAATGTGGGGCTCGAACCCACAACCTTGAGATTAAGTGTCTCGTGCTCTTCCAACTGAGCTATCCCATTTGGGGAAAGCTGCAGATCACTGGTAGAGTGCATATCTTTCATGCAAAAGGTCCAAAGGTAAATCCCTGACATCTCCAGATAGGGCTAGGAGAGACCCCTACCCCTAACTCAGGAGAGCTGCTGCTAGTCAGTGTCAATCGATGGACTATTAGTCTTTCTGTTTCCCAGTTATGGTCTGAAGGCACATGAAACAACCAACTTGCTACAGTTAAGTTGATCTGGAGTTGGTCAGTACCTGAATGGGACACCTCCTAGAAGCCACATGTATGGCACCTTGAATTCCACCTTGAGTTCCATGATGGAAGAAAGGCGGAATATAAAGAGACGCAGAGCTCAGTAGGTTAGAACTTGGTGCTGATAATGCCAAGGTTGCAGATTTGATCCCCGTATGGGACATCTGCATATTCCTGCATTGCAGGGGGTTTAACTAGATGATCCTCAGGGTCCCTTCCAACTCTACACTTCTATGGTGAAATGTAAGAAGATAAAACATTTAAAAACATGTTGTCTGGCCAAACATATCAACTCAGTCAAACAAGATCTGCAAGTTTATGGATCGCTACAGAACATGTTTACCAACAGTTGAATTGGTGTACACATCATGGACAATGATACTTCTTTTATGCATCTTTCAGTTCCTGGAAAACTATTATCTGTCTCCAAAAATAGGTTGGAATCATGGTATTCTACAATAAACTAATTGAATAAACATGCTTCTTACTTGTACCAGTTTACATTCAGAACTAAACTAGAAATATTTAGAAGCTTTATTAATTCTTACATCCTTCCTCTGAATAGTTGAAAGCAGTATTTTATCCCCCAAATGACCATGGGAATAGGCTGGGAGAAAATGACTTGCCAAAGGTAACACAATGAGCTTCATAAGCGACCAGATGTTTGATTCTGGGTTTTCCAAATCCAAATTTGATGCTCCTGTCTGGTTACTGTTTTGTACTGATATAGTGGCAAACATGATTTGATTCTATTTTCTTTTCTATGTCAGCCTTTTATAGATTTCAGACTCTCTCTAGCTGTCATTAACCTTGCCTTAATACTGTGCATAATCAGTGGAATACTATTTTTTCTTTCCTTAATCCGCCTTTTGTAATATCTCAGCTGAATTACTGCTGCTTATCAAAGCTACTTAGAATTTAGACAATAGCTCTCAAAGAGATGGAATATCCTTAAGAATTTTAAAATAAAATTTTGTCAAGAAGGTTCTATATATAGTGCAGTGATTTCAAAAGCAGTAATACTCTTTTGTAAGCATGCTCCTGTAATTGCAATCAAACATATGTCTGCTCTGTATAGATGTGCGAATGATATAATTTATAAAACAATATTGCATTGATTGAATACCTAAAAATAATGCCTGAAAGATAATTACCACTTAGAATGTGGTAGCAATAAAATAAGAATATGATCAAAACCAGTGCTTCTCCAACAGGAGATCCAACAGTACACAGAAACAAGTAAAAATTATTGTGATGTCAAGCAAATAAGAGTCATTTTATTCTGCTAGTTTCCTTTTAAATTGCAGACCACATCTGTTCTTCTGAATTAGTCACCTAGGAGGCTAAGCTATGTGTCATTTGGAAACCATGTATAATGGTAGCTCAAATAGGGACAAAATATTTCTGTTGAGGGTGATTGGAAAATGAGAACATTTAACCCTTTTGCCATTTCCACATTTCTAATCTCCTTCAGCAGCTCCCCCCCTCCACCTTCCAGACACATATTAAAGACCGGGTGGTGGGGTGTTTTGCCTTGAAGGTGCTGAGTGGGGAAAGATGGCGTCTTTGCTCCTGATCCCAATGGAAGTGACTTTACTTATTCTAAAATGGCCAACAGACTACTGTTTAAAAACATTTGTTTAATTTGATCCTAAGTGCCTGTACAGTCTTAACAAAATATAATAGCTTGTGCATAGGAATGGTAGTTGAAATATTTTAACTTTTGGTGGCAATGATTGGAATATAGTATTGATTATTGCTATTATCATTTTAGGCATATATCCGGATCAGATCTCTTTCTTGGTGCAAGCTATGTCTATAACCATTACTGTGACTGTAAGGATCAGCATTACTACCTATCAGGAGACAAAATCAATGATGTTCTCTGCCTTCCAGTAGAGAAGCTGTCTTGCATTACACCAGTATTGGCATGTCAAGATAGAGTTGTTAGAGTTTTGCAGGTATACCTTATTTAATTGTTGCCATTATCAATAGCAGTTGTTAAATAGCCAGTAGATACGTTGTCAACACCTGCTTGAGAAAACAGAAGTGTATTATTATTTTAATTGTACTTCGGGATATTTATTCCAAAGGTTTTTCCCATTTAAAAATCCTATTGGTGCAGCTCATCTGATAACTGGTAAACTCCAAGTGCATAGCTGAGCCTCAAAACTGTCACTTATGGGGCTGTCTGGAAGTCCTTCTTTCCCTTTATGACTGAATTGTTAATTTCTTCTTCCTATATTCTTCCTATATTCCTATGCGCCTTTTAGGAGTTCTATGATCCCTGGAATTACAACCTTCCAATAGCTTTCCCCCTTGTCCTTAGCAGAAGCCTAGTTTTCTGAAGCTCTGGACTCCTGCATTATTCTTGATGCTTTGTTTGGAATCTTAATAAGTGACTTTATATAATATCTGACTGTTTGTCCAGTATTTTCTGTTTCTGTTCCATATTAATACACTTTCATGCCCTTGGTTTTTTAAATATTTTTTAAAATATTTTTTATTAAAGATTTCTCAGTTTACAAAAGTACTGCATTGTCTCTTTTTTCAGGTTGTGTTTTCTACAGATCAGTTTCATTTGTTGTGAGACGTTAGTGTTGCATGTAGTATAAGGTTGGGAAGGAAAGAGGGTGGGGTAGGGATGGTGTGTGGGGGTGGGGTGGTAAAGCTTCTATTCTTCCACTTAGTATATGTGTGGGGTTTTGTTTCGGCGTCACTTGAGTGGATTATCCTTGCACACAACCTTCCCTTAACAACATCCTTTTTTCAGTGGCGTTAATAGGCTTGGCAATGAGATCATGGCTTTGGTTTAGATAGGATAGGTTAGGCCCTCGGTTTTATCTTAGCCTAAAGGCAGAAAAATAATGCTGCTTATTTAAAAGCTTTCCTTTTACACCACCTGTCAGGGAAGACATCACCTTCCCATCCCTCTAAATTAAAACGAAAGAAAAAATCAAGGGTTGAAACTAACAGTGTTTCTACTTCATTTTCTTGAGGGGTCAGATTTGCTGTATGAAATGGAAGTTCCAGGTCCACCCACAGTTCTGACTTTGAACAATGGAAATGGTGGTAAGCAGAATTTCTTGGTGCATTTTATTTCAATAAAAAGCATGACATGGATTTTAATCTGTAATGTTGCCTAGGACTTGATACCCAGTCCTAGTATTACTATTAGGAGACTGTTGGGCAGTAGGGTAGGCAGTACACCAACAGAATCACCAATATATCCGAAGCATCAAGAACAAGCACTCAAAACTGGAAGGTTGCCAAAGGGGGCCTCTATTCATAGAGTTGGAGCTGGAGCATACCAAAGCAACTCTTCCTTCCTGCCCTCTGTACCTCAGTTTGAGCTAGTGTGATACAGAGAATCTTTGTGGACTGAATCTAATGTTAAATGGAAGCCTATTAAAAACTAATCCTACTTTTAATTTATTTTCTTAGGTGACTCTGGTGAAGAAGTTCTGTTTGGGACATCTGATGGTAAAATTGGCCTAGTAGAGATCTCTGGTGTTTCTCCAGTAGAAAAGTGGAAAATTGAAAATGAGAAAAAAAGAGGTGGTAGGTGTCTTAAGGGTTTCCCGGTAGATCATAGTTATTCACATCAGGCACAGTGAGAAATAGCTCCCTTTAGTACTGTGGTTTGCATATTGCATTGGTTTAAAAAAACTTATAAGAAATATCACATCCACTGTCAACTCTCAAAAACAATTACGGTTACCATCAACTCAAACATGGACTTCAATGTTTATGTTTTCTACCTGGACTGTGAATGTTGTCCCCTCCATTTTACTCATTCATATCAGGGTGTGCCAAAAACAATCCCAACATCTGTCCTTCTCTTTTCCTGCATGTCATTCATAGCATATATTATTTTGGCCATGTTTTTATTGGGGAATATGGACATGGCTGTGCCAATGTAGCTGGCATCTGGTTCAGAGAGAAAGGACATTATGCCCGCCTGAAGGGAGAAAAGATGCTCTCCCCACTTCATCACTTGCTGAGTGGGGACTTTGTGTGAGTGTGTATGTGAGAGAGTATGTACCAATGCTAATGTGTTTGGAAAATAAGGTTTTCAAACTGCAAAAAGTACATGGTTACAAACAATGAGATCTGCCAGGCCTGTTGACCTTGTCCACTTGCACCTGGTTCAAATGGAAAAGTTTACAGCCAGCTTCCCCACTTATTTCTTGATTAGAATTTGGTGAGAAAATTAAAAATACAAATGAAGCAAGTCTGATTACAGTTCTTAACATGCAATCAGTCTTGTTCTTGATTGTGGGCTCCCACCAGAGAAGTAAACAAGAAAGGAAGAAAGGACAAGAATGCAGAAGGACACTTAAAAGCAGAAACAGCACTCAGGCGACCTAGGCTGCTGCAGATTAACACAACTGCATGCAAATGTGATTCCGATTAATAAATTGATGCTCTAGATTTGTGTAACTTCAGCATGGAAACAATGACCAACAAACACCACATTGACATGAAATATATTCTTCTGCAAGTATTTCTTAATTGTGTAATTACATGGGTTAGTAGTGAGAGGATGAGAAGGGGCTGGTGTGTGCTTTCTTGATCATCCCACTGGTCAGTTTTGGACCATTGGGAAATGGTTCTTCAGCCCTCTTGTGAAACTTTGGTTTGAACTCTAAATAGGACTTATTTTGGAGGACAGCATGTTTATTTTTCCAAACTTCAATTCCATGCTTTGCAGACATTAAACATTCCAATATGACATCAGATTTCAAACTAATAATAATAGTGTGTGACTAGTTTTACCATTTTTGTGGCACACGTATCCTGCTATATGTGCAAGTGTACAAATGGCAGATGTGGTATATCCAACAAACAATGCCTTATGTTAGTATTCATTTTGGGGTTGTTTCTATAAATTCTGTACTTTATTATTACTGGAGTGAAATACCGTATTTTTCGCAATATAGGGTGCACAGGCCCATAGGGCGCACTTATTTTTTTGGGGGGGGAATAAAGATTTTTTTTTTGCAAAAGTCTTTGCAAAGAGCAAAGAAGCCATGACAGCGAGCAGGATGGATCCCGCTAGCTGTCTTGGCTTTGTTTTTAGCCTCGGGGCTGGGGGTCCGGGAGCCCGAGCTTTCCCCAACCCCAGCCCCCAGAACGGGTCCTGCTGCCCACAAGCCTTGCGAGCCCGGCGGGAATTCCCGCCGGGCTCGCAAGGCTTGCGGACATCAGCACGGGGCGCGCTCCGGAGCGCACCCCGCGCTTCGGGCTGCAGGCTGCTGCCCACAAGCCTTGCGAGCCCGGCGGGCACTCCTGCCGGGCTCCCAAGGCTTGTGGATAGCTTCCTGAAGCCTGGAGAGCGAGAGGGGTCGGTGCGCACCGACGCCTCTCGCTCTCCAGGCTTCAGCGAAAGCCTGCATTCGTCCCATAGGACGCACACACATTTCCCCTTCATTTTTGATAGGGAGAAAGTGCGTCCTGTAGGGCGAAAAATACGGTACCCATCTATCACACAATAATCCCACCTAAAATGTAATAGTTTCTCATAGATAATTTTAACATTCTGCTTTTAAGAACCTAGTAATAATGCAGTAATTCCAGTGAGGATGTTCAGTTGATTTCATTCTGTATTGGGTGATAGTTCTTAACACAGTTCTATTTATTTTGTTAAAGGGGAAGGACAATAGCTCGGTCGTACAGCATCTGCTTGGTTTGAAAAAGGTTTTTAGTTCATTCCCTGCCCTCCTGGTAGGCCTGGGAATGCCTCCTGTCTGAAACCCTGAAGAGCTGCTACCAGTCTGTACTGAGTTAGATGGATAAATGACCAGACTCTGTATAATTAAGAAAGTTTCCTAGGTTCCTAAATTGCATGTGAGATTTACAAGATGATATGGTTAGTGAGTTGGATGTAGATACATGCTTCCTGTTCTGTTTTTCAGGCATCTTATGTATGGATAGCTTTGATATTTTGGGAGATGGAGTTAAAGAATTGATCATCGGTCGTGATGATGGAATGTTAGAAATCTATAACTTTGAATATGCAAAAAGCCCTATCCTTAGATATGAATATGTAAGTTTATTAATGACTACTTTATGTAGAAGGAAATTTTCTTAGTATACTTTCTTTTATACAAAATTCTGTCAAATGTTGCTTTCACATAAATTGAGCCATATGTGTTACTAGCAAGTATGGTAAAAACTGAATGCCAATGTTAGAATAGGGAAGGGATAGGGGACCTGTGGCCCTTCAGATTATTTTGGACTACAAGTACTATAATTTCTATCTGTTGGCCATGCTGGCTTGGACTGATGGGAACTGGAGTCCAAGAACATCTGAAGAGCAACAGATTTTCCAGCCCTGTAATAGAGAGGCTGGGACAGAACTGCACATGTCTATGTCCAGGATCCCACAGGTACAGGGTGATGCCCAATGTAATACTTCAGAAACTAATAGAAATATATAAATATCAGAGATTCAGGCTGTGATGCAGCACTACAGCAGAGCTGAAGCTTGCATATCTAGAGAGATATCCTCAAACCCTCCTCTTATTCCCCCTCCACTCTTTCTGCTGAACAGTGCAGAGTCATAAAATTATTCCCAGGAGAGGAGATGAGCCACATGTGGTGCTGAGAATTATGTAAAGTCCCATTGTTATGCTTCCTATTATGCTAACAGAAGAGCTGGGAAGTGGTTTTCATTTATTTAGTACACTTAAATTTCACTTTTCTACCAGCATGGAACTTAAAGCAGGACACCTGGGTTTCCAGCTCTTTTGCCCATGCACTGACCAGGCACAGACTTGCATATCTTCAGCAATGGAGCTGTATAGTGTGCCCTAAGAACCTATCCCTGGACAGTTAAAATGATAAATTTCTAGGAAGTGCACCAGGCATTTATATCTCACAAGAATGCAGTCAGAAGCAGGTGGGATAGATCTCTGCATGTAACAGTCATGTTAGGCTATTCTTATTGTCCCTTGAGAGAATTTGGAGTCCCAGAAAAGATACATGGTCTTATACATGGGGGCGTCTTATAGACCAGTGTTTCCCAACCTTTTTTGGGCAAAGGCACACTTGTTTCATGAAAAAAATCTTGAGGCACACCACCATGCCAGATGGGGAAAGGTCACTTTTTACTTATGTAAAAAAAATTAAAAAAAATAGTAACAGCATAGAAGGTAATGGTAGATGACTGTTAGGGTCTCCCCCCAAATGCAGAATTCTATTAATATCTTCCTTAGCGAGCTGCGTTAACCCCTGTAATGCTTTCTATAGAGTAAGCATAGGGGACACTGGGGGATGTGGAACCAAGGGGGCAGTGGGCCAAAAGAGTTCGGGATCTACTGCTTTAAACAGAAATAAGAGCCAGTGGGTTCTTCCTTTTTTAAAGTATCGTTTCAGCGGGGACAGCAGTCCGGATTTCCAAAAAGCGGCGCTTTTTTGCATCTGAGCAAAGAAGAGAGAGAGGGGAAAAAAGAGAGAGAGATTGATTTGTGGCTGCGCAAAGGGGGAGGAGCCCAGGAGTAAAAGTAGGAAGGACGAAGGGAGGGGAAAGGAAAGTTAATAGAAGGAAAGGCGGGTGGGAGAGAAAGAGAAAGAAAGAGGGAAGGAAGGGGGGAAGAGAAGTGGAAAGGAGGGAGACCGAGGCGGGGGAGAAGCATCTGGAGAGTTGCTCCGAAGTTTGGGGGGCCGCGGGGGTGGGCGCGCGTCCCAGGAGGCGGAGGCCAGCCCGGGCTGGGAGCCGCGCCGCAGCCCGGGGGCGGTAGGCGGACCGCGGCTCCTAGGATGTGGAAAGGGGACGGCAGTGCAGGGGGAGGAGACCCGCACGGCTAGGGCAGCGCGCAGGGGGAGGCGAGCGGGCCGCAGGCGGGCCGCGATCCCGCGCGCCGCGAACATGGCCTCCTTCCCCGCGGGCCCCGCCGAGCCCCCCGGCCGGGGAGGGCGGCGCGCCCCCGCCGCCGGAGGAGAGCAGAGGCAGGAGGAGGAGGACGAAGGCGCTGCCGAGGAGGCGCGCCAACTTCTGCCAACTTCGGCGCCCGCCCCGTCGCCGCAGGCTCCTCCCGGCCGAGAGCCAGAGGACGGTGGCGGAGCAGGAGGAGGAGGATCGGGTTTGGCGACGGCTGCTGCGTCCTCTCCAAGCGCGGGGCTGGCCTCCGCCGCGCCCGATCCTCCGCGCTCGCCGCGCTTCTCGGCGGAGCAGGTCTCGTGCGGGTGCGAGGCGCTGCTGCAGGCGGGCGACCCCGGCCGGCTGGGCCGCTTCCTGGGCTCGCTGCCGCCCGACGCCGAGGCGCCGTGCCTGGAGGCGCAGGCGGGCGAGAGCCTGGCCAAGGCGCGCGCGCTGCTGGCCTTCCAGCGCGGCGACTTCGCCGAGCTCTACCGCCTGGTGCAGAGCCGGCGATGGGATGTGGGAGCTCGCTCGCTCGCCGCCCCGCGTGTGCCTATGTGGGGCACGTTACAGCCCCGTGACGTCAGCGCCACGCAGGCAGCCAGGCAGGCAGACGGCGAGAGCCCCGCGCTGGGCGGCCTCTCCTCGCCGCCGCCGCCCCGCCTCTCGCCGCCCGACTCGCCCGTCTCCCTCCCACGGCACACCAGGCAACGTCTCGCGGCACACTAGTGTGCCGCGGAACACGGGTTGGGAAACACTGTTATAGACGGAAAAATACAGTATATTTTTTTCTCAACGGATACCATTTTTAAAGATTAAATAGAATCTAACACACGTATTATGCCTCAAGTCTTCTTCTGTCTTATTTTTAGGCCTTGTCAGAAAGTGTCACATCTGTTCAAGGTGGCTGTGTTGGGAAAGAGGGCTATGATGAGATCATAACATCAACATATTCAGGTTATTTTTTAAAATGTTTCTAAATATCTGAAATTTTTATACATTTAACAGGAATTTAAAAAAAATAAAAATGGAGTCATAGAATGTGTTCTCTGGCTCATATTCCCAGAAGTCAGTAGCTTAACTTGGGAATCTGGGCCTTGGGTGCACAGCAATCAGATAGTATAGTGCTCTGCTGACCAGGCCTGGGGCCATTGAAGGGGCTTCATATGCATACCAGTTGCTGGTGTTGTATGTCCTTTTCAACTTGATGGAGGTTTTTATCCCTGCATATGAACAGTCCATAGAATTATAGAATTGCAGAACTGGAAGGGACTACGAGGGTCATCTAGTCCAACCCCCTGGAATGCAGGAATCTTTTGCCCAACATGGGGCTTGAACCCACAACCCTGAGATTAAGAGCCTTGAACTCTACCAACTGAGCTGTTTCTATGATAGTTCACTGTGAGGGTTCTCAGTTTCAGACCCTAAGGATCCTGGTTAGAGCCTCTGACAGTGTTATCTTCATAACCCATCTGGAAAACTTTTTCATAATTGTTCATATCTTCCTTTTAGGGTGGGTGTCAGGACTGACTACAGAGCCTACCCACAGAGAATGTGGATCAGGGGATGGCTTAAAGATGACTCATGAAATGCAGAACAAGGTTTTGTCCTTAAGGTAATAAATTGTTTTATTACAATGCAAAAGAGAAAATACTATAGCAATCTTTGCCTTATCCTGGTGCATATCCGGAGCAGATATCTAACCTTACCTGCTGGGTTATAACTATACATCAGTTAACTTACAACATTTCCAGTAGAATCTTTGTGATAGTACAGCAATTCATTAATAGTATCATAGTTTCAGCTATGTGCATTTCATTACATTGTTTGGTTTCTTGTAAGCATCCCTGTAATTTTCACCCTTCTAGTGCAAAATTGCTACTATGTGGATGTACTGAAAGAGATGCTTTCTGCCTTTTTCAGACTTAAAATAGATAGTATATAAGTTGCAGTGCCAGTTTGGTAAGTTAGTGGAGACCTGTGAACTGACATTCTGCTGGGACTGGGCTTCTTGATCCCTTTGTGACATTTCATAGGAAGAGACCCTGTTTTTTACATAAAGCAAAAAATCAAAATAATGTTACCTCAGATAAATTTTAGTAAGCTGTAGAACTGAACAGATGTTACCAAAACATATTTGTTCTGTCCACTGACTTGAACAATTTTTGAAAGATGGTGTCAAAGTAAGGAAGTAAAGGAAAACAAGTATTAGGAAAAGAATATAGAAAATGAAGTTCTGTTGCTTTAACCCTATTATGCACTTTCCATCTGATTTTTTTTTTTTTAGGACAGAACTTTGATAATACATTTATATCCAGTATTTGTGGAATTATTTCTGAAAACATGTTTTTCAGTCTAGATGGAAAATATCAAGATAAAAACTGTTTTCCAGGCATCAGTTTGTTATCTAGAGCAGCTTTTTTAGCCTACCATTCTGTTGTTTGCCATAGGAATGAATTGGAACAGCTACAGATCAAGGTACTTCATGAGCGTGAAAAATACCAGCAGTCCTCTCAGTCCAGCACTGCTGTGTCAGCAGTTCCAACCTTCAGCATAAATGATAAGTTTACATTAAATAGAGATGATGCAAGCTACAGCCTTGTTTTAGAAGTCCAGGCAGCAATTGATACTGTCTTGCTTCAGGTGAGACATTATTTAGAATAACTTTGTAGACTTGGGTATTTGGAAACTTTGATTTTATTTTTAAAATTAAAGATGTGTTAGCTTGTTTTTATATTAAATTAGATAATTTCACTAAGTGGAATACCATTTAATAGTATGCACTAACTTTTCTCTGAAACTTGCACTTGTGCAGAATGACTGTAACTGGGTGAGATGGGCTCATTCCCTTCAGGCTATTTAGAAGTCAACACAAGCACTAACTTTGCAAAGATACATGCTGAAGTTATCGGTGCAATGTGCAGAAAGTTGAGTACACCATAAGGATGTTTAAAATATTTTTCAGTGAGATCTGGATGCACTTAACTTTCTTCAGATTGTGCTCTTTGGCTACAGTCATGCATCACTAATACATGCTTTTATCCCACCCATTTACTTCCAAGGGAACAATATGATTAGGATTTCAAACTATATCTGCACTAAGCATTTGCTAGTAATCTGTGTGGTTTGGACTTGTTTTGATGACAATCAATTCCTTTTTTGAAACTGGCTCCTTTTTGTGCTTTTACATCATATACACCTTTTCCTTACTACTGTGTGCATTGTTTTTGAGTTCTGAAGTGTTCCATGGGATGTATGGTTACCTGATACTTATTTTTACCATAATATTATTTTTACTGTAAAATTTCTCAGGGAAGATAACTTATGTAAATTGAGAAAGTATATTTGAACATCCGCATGTTGACCTTTCCTATTGCCTGCTACTGTTTCTCTCCATAGTGTGATGTTCCAATAGATCTAAAGGATGTGGATAAAAATTCAGCTGTGGTTAGTGTTGTTGACTGCGAATCAGAGGTATGTAAAATGCCAGATCTTTTCTACATAGTTGAAAAGATGAATATCAGCTTTTAAGCTGAATATCAGCTTTTAATTTCATGGAGTGTATTCTAGTGAAGTTTAACTGTTGAAGCTGACAAAGAGGACATTTTTGAAGAGTGGGATAAAAATCCCTTACTACATAATAAACATGCCTAGGATTTAAGCAATCCTATGTATGTTCACTTGGAAGTAAGGCCAGTTGTGTCAAATGGTGCTTGGTTCCATGTAAATTTGCATAAGATTGCAACCTAATTTATTATATCAGACCTTTATGATTTTAACATTTTTGGAACTTTTTCACTTGATGAGCATCCAGCTATAGGTTTTCTGCTTTGGGGCTAAATTCATATTGCAGAGAGTTAAGATGATGGTGGTAATTGCTGTTACTACTTATTTATTTATTTATTCTTCTTCCTTTCTCACGTAGAGTGCAGGGTGCCTAGTTTTTTTTAAAAAAACAATTTTTAGAACAACTTTCCTAGTTTTCTTTCAAAATTTGTAAGTAAGGCTGCAAGCCTTTACTTAATGGGAATAAATCCATTGAACTCAGTGGGATTTATTTTTGAGTAGTGATACATATGCCTGTATTGTAAACATACAGAAAACTTTCTACTGATTCTTGTAGAAAACAGGTACTACTAAAATGACTTAAACTGCTTTAGTTGTAAATAAAATTAAAAAATGAGACTTTATTGCTGTTTCTCAGTATGTTATTTCACAATCTTCATGTTCCACAGCCAAATGGCAACTTCCTCCTTGCCACATATCGCTGTCAAGTAAATACCACAAGGTTGGAGCTTAAGGTAAAATATAGGAATGCTTATATATTTTAAATATAAATTATGATTAAACATGTTTGTTGTACATATTGTTGAGTATGTGAATTTTAAAACCTATCCAAAGAGCAGCAGTGGTGGTAAAGATCCTGGGTAGGAACATCTGTGAAAACAGAGATTAATGATTTTTCTATTTAAAAGAAGACAGAAACAAGTATTGATTGTTTTGATTCATGAATTACCGTATATTTCTATTTTCAATTAAAGACTGTTGTGGTGTGGAGAGAAATTGTTTACCATGATGTCTTGTTATAAGTTACTAAACAATGAGGTATAAAATGGAAGTCTTTGAATGCAATCCTGTACCCTTGTACCAGGATGAAGCCCAGAGGACTGAGTAGATATGCATTGGATTGCACAATAGGATAGTTTGTGATAAATTTGTATTTTTAGAAATAAGGTTTAGCCCATTGGATAGGTTTATTGAGTGTATGAATTGCTTCACACAACAAAAAGTCCCCTACCAATTTGTAATAAGAATAAAATAATTTGAACATGTATTAAAAATAGATTATTGAAAGTTTAATCCCCTTTCAGTGCAGTGAGAGATACCAAGATGACCTCTGAAAGTACTCCCATTTTATAATGGGGTGGGTGAATTGTCACAAAGTTCCCTAGTTCTTTATAAGATATATTAGCCAACTGTAGGCTGCTGATGTAGCATCATTCTTTATGGCTGTTTGCCAGACACCCAGGTCATTAAATTTCTCAGGGAGGTATGGGTAATACAATGGTGTCAGAATGAAAAGTATTATGAGTAAGTTTTCAGTATTCACATTTCAGATGAAAATGGAGTTGAGAACACAGTGATTTCAAGATAAGTTTTAACAAAATCAATAGAAAGTTTACTAGAATATAGCACAGTTACTTTAAAAAATCACTTTTACATCTTCATTTAGGGAGATTTCAGATGTGATTATGGTGACATTAAAATATAAATTCTAAAGCCTCTTTTAGTACAGTTTACATGAATGACAATGCAGGCTGCAGCTCCACCTCTAAGCTGTTGTGGTTCACTCAACCCTCCTTTAGTTGAAAAGAGGGAGTGAAGTTTGAGGCTTGCTGACTGCTTTCTTTTTTTACAGAGGAAAGATGAATAGCACTCAGATCTACCAGTGAGATAACAGAAACACATGAAGCACACTTTAAAATGCTCACACCATAGGAGTCGTAAGCCTTCTACATGGCATTTTTCCAGTGTTAGTCTGAGATAAAGTTGGATGTGACCGTTGTTAAGGCTGCCGTCTACCTGGAAGAAACTCACTGAATTCATTGGGACTGCTTTTGGGTTTAATTTTAGTATTTTACAGATGGCTAAATGGATGTTTTGAAAATGTCTTTGTGTTTTGATGGATAAAGGTGGGACCCATCTGCTAGAACTGGTAATTATCAAGTCATCAAAAATGGAAGTTAGTTCCCCTTTCTTTCCCCCCTTCCTTGGACAGATTCTATCAATTGAAGGCCGGTATGGGACTCTGCAAGCATATGTAACTCCAAGAGTTCAACCAAAAACCTGTCAAGTTCGGCAGTATCAGATTAAGCCACTTTCACTTCATCAGAGGACGCATTGCATTGATCGTGACAGGTATTTTTGAGAACAACTGGCTTGTTTAAATTTGAATAGAGGATTTGATTGCATTTCAAGGCAGTGCTTAGTAGAACCCAGAAGCACGCCTGCAGCATCTACAATGAAAATACAGGGACTGGATTTAGAGAAGTTTTCTCAAACTAAGGAGTTTCTTCCATCGGAGTAAGGTGGTTGATTTGATGGATATCCTGGATCCTGCTCATGGGAATTTGTGTAGATGTTAGGTGTTATCTTTGTAGGGATAACATCTTCCTGCTAAAACTTAGCAAAATGCAAAAAGTATAAAGATTAACATTCCAAGTTAGTTCTTGAAGGTTATGGCTCTCACAGATCAAGCCAAAGAAACCTCACATTGTTTTGCTGTACCATTAGAAAGTAAGTAGACTTTGTTTCTAATGGTAGATACTCTTTTGTAACAAAATGCTTTTTTAATTTTTTTTTTATTCAGACCCATGAATACACTAACCCTCAAAGGCCAGTTCAGCTTTGCTGAAGTTCACTCCTGGGTGGTGTTTTGCTTGCCTGAAGTTCCTGACAAGACACCAGTGGGGGAGACTGTCAGCTTCTACTTTCAGAACACCTTTTTGGATACACAACTTGAATGTACTTACCGGTAAAATGAAACACAGTTCCTGAAACATGCTGGTTTCGTTTGAAAGGCAATATATAAAATGCTGAAAAGTAGATCCTAGTAAAGCATGCTTGTTCAGGACATGGCATTCAAAAACGTCCAGCTTTTTCTTTTCACTTACCTTATCTCTGACATTTCCTTTTTTATGTGCAACTTAGCCCTAAACATCTTTAGGCTGCAATTGTAATCTCACTTACCTAGTAATAAGCCCCTTTGAATTCTATAGAACTTTTGAGTATACAACATCTAGAGAGCCACAGGTTCCTTATCTTTGTGAGAGTTGTCTAGGGTTTCTAGGTTAAGACTGAGAAACTACCAGAGATACATTCAACAGCTTACTATTTAAACTGTTTAGAATTAGTATAATTCTGTTCAGTCCTCCAAATATAAGTCAGGGTATTTATAGTGGAAGTGTATGAGGAGAAACTAGAAAGATGGGATTGTGTATTTTTAATATCTCTGGACGAGTTTGAACCTTGTAAGAAGTAAAGGCTGGCACAGTTTTTACCAGTTGTTAATTTCTAACATCTTCTATATAGGAAAGGCGAGGGCTACTTCAAATCTGACAATATATCCACAATATCTATTCTAAAGGATGTGCTCTCTAAAGAAGCCACTAAAAGGAAAATTAATCTCAATATATCATGTGGTAAGAATTTTTAATTCTCTTCTTCTTGGGTTACTTAGAAATGCATAAAAGTTAACAAACTAATGAGTTGCTTTCTTGTGGTGATCTTCTAGATATAAATGAAGTATCTGTGAACCACACCTTAAAGCTAATCCACCCAAAATTAGAATATCAGCTAATGCTGGCTAAAAAGGTTGAACTGTTGGATGCTTTAAAAGTAAGTCTTTTGGTGGTTGCAAAATTACAAGTACTATGGAGGGACTGTGTAGTGGTTTTTCATGTTTGTTTGCTGTGTGATACTTTTGAACTCTATTAAGGAGGGTTTTAAGGAACCCAGGATTAATAATCACACTTAGATCAGCTGAACTTCCAACCTGTAGCACTTTGGTCCTATTGGGACATGAAATCTATTTGCTCACCTTCATGCAGACCAAATCTACTTCTAGATCAGGGATGGGGAACCTTTCGGATTCTCAACTCCCATCAACCCCAGCCAGAATGGTCAGTGTTCAGAGATTATGGGAGTTACCCATCCCCATAGAAGAGGCCAAATGGGACATTTTTTCCTGCACACAAGTACTATAAACCATATAAGTAATAGCATGCAGATATAAATTATATTGAACTGTACAGAAAGGAATTTGAATATGCTTTTGTGGAAAGTTGATTTTTATTTAATTGTTGTAGAAAAGGACAGTAATAGAAGGAAATCCTCTTTGTCGTTAAAGATGGAGGCTCTTAGCAAAGGATTATGAACATCACCTGGGCTAAAAGCCGGCGAAAATCTAGCCTATCTCTTTTCTATGTCATTGTGTAGCCATGCATCTTTAAGTTCCCAATGTTCAACTTTTCTGTCAGGTTTAGAGGGTTTGTAACTGTCTTAACATTTTATTAACATCAATTTAAGGAATTGCAGGCTCACGAAGGAAATACAGACTTCCTGATTCCAGAGTACCGCAGCATTTTGGAGGAGGCAGAGGAGCTGCTCAAAGAACACAAAAAACAACCTACATCTCTTGAAAGACTTTATGGTTGGTTCATTAACACAGTTTTCCTAATTTTCTGTAGTATTGTTTTTCCATTCTTGTTAAATCTTATCTTGTGAAAAGAGAGGTCTGTTTCTAGGGTGGTAGTTCTGTACAACATAAGAGACTTCTCATGCAAAAGCTCTGATGTGCACATAATCTTAGTACAATCACCTTTACCTTTCATTTCTAAGGAGGAATCAGAACACCGATAATGCATATATTTCATATATGGATCTTATCCTGAATGAAAATGATTGCAAAAGCCCAGATAGCAAATTGCACACAGACTCTGAATGACTGTGTCAATGAATTTATGTGCGTAATTTTAATTCTATAGTATTATTGTGCCTCTGTAGTGCCAAAGGAGAAACACATATTTATGTGTATTTCCTTTAAATACGCGTTTCTCCTTTGGCACTACAGAGGCACAATTATAGATTATAGAGATGGATTTTACTAAAAATAAATGCAGCAAGGACTGCTGATGCACAAAGATGTACCAATAAATCTATGGGAATATTGGCTACAGAACACCTTGGCTTGAAGGAAACAAAAAAGTTGATTTCATTTGTTCTATATTACCCTTGATTTCACTCAGATTTCTGACACCCAGCTCCATTTCACTAGATATTTTACCACATGCTGCATGTGTTGCAAAGCATTCTAAAATAAATACTTGTTATTAACACAGACTCTAAATATCCAAAGTCTTCTATCATAAATGTTACTTTTCTCGATTTAAAAGGAAACACCAATTTGTCAAAATAATAAGTGTTTGCATTTTTTCTTCCAGGTATGATTACAGATCTGTTCATAGATAAATTTAAATTCAAAGGCACTAATGTGAAAACCAAAGTTCCCCTTCTCCTGGAAATTTTGGGAAGTTATGATCAAAAAGCATTGATTGCCTTTTTTGATAGCGCTGCTTAAATGGGAAGAATTGGACCAGCAATCTGAAGATAAAGTAGTGGACATAGACCAGGCATATTTACATCCATTTTAAAATATATGTTACTATATTTTATTTTATTGATTTATATCAGTGTCTTGTACCTGTTATTTTTTTTTAAATGACTGATGTCAAGAGCATACGTTATATGAAATCATAGCCCCCCCTTTTGTTTGCTTGAACAATGGTTGGTATAGTTTGCTAATTTGCAGTGAGATCAGGTATATACAGTCCAAATTAGTTTTATGTAAAACATTACCAGATTCTTAGCTTTTAAATAATATACAATTGGATTCTAATTTATTTTAGCTATGAAATGAGCAAACTTTGAAGCTTGAAAATTTTGAATATAGCCATGTGAAATTGTGTACAGTATTTTCTGTAAATAGTTGAGCAATCGCATGATCCTGCTGTCCTGGCAGGTCATATATACCACTGCAACATCTGTGTACCTGGTAGCTTATACTTGTCCAATACAGGAGGGAGCAGGAAAATACACAAAGTAGAGGTATACCTTCAGCATCCATGGAAGTGTGGCTACAAGGTCTGTGTCTGAACCCACATGCATATCCAGCTCTCACATGTATTCCACACTACAAGAAGTTCAGCGTATTTTTTGGAGATACAACATGTGCCCATTATGAGTATGTGTTGACCCTTATCTTTATGCCCCAAGAAATTAGCATCCAAGAGGAATTTAAAAAAAAAATATTGCTTACTAGAAATGAAAGTGATAGAGTATATAGAAGCTGCTTAAGGCAGTAAAAATACAATATAAGCAGGCAGTATACATACACACCTTGATCTAAAGACTAAAAGAAGCCCCAACTACTCCAAAAGCCTAAAGGGAGTGTGACAATTTTTCAACAGACCCACACTAAAAGTGAGAAGGAAAGGAGGAAGGCATACCTGTTCTAAGCAAAGTATAGTGTCAGGCTGGTCCTTGAGAGTATAGAGTGAAAAGAGCATCTGTTTTAGAGCTTGTGAGAGTTAACTAGCCATTGAAAATCTGGAAAGTACTCTTTTTAAACCATGTATTCACATGGAGAGGGGAAGTGGTTTTTTGGATGAGTGATTTGTCATAATACCTTTATTCCTTTGTTGCATTATTTCCTGCACATTTTTGTCTCTCCCCCCCCCCCCCATTTTGTTTTCTTTTCTCAGTTGTTAGTTGACATGATCATAGTAAGAAATGACTAACTGGCTATCTTTGATTCCTGAATTCTCCCCTCCTCACCCCATCCTACATACAATACACAAATTGCTGGGCACTGTGTATGTGTACAGTACTGTACATGTTGTACGTTATATGCAATTATGTATATAAGAAGGAAATTACTAAATTATTTTAAATAAAACTATATTAATGGCTCTAGTCTAATTCATAATCACTTTGATAAATAGAATGTCTAAATGTCGTGTGTGCACAAGTCTCTGAAATACATCAGATGTGATACAATGAGCATTTAAAATGTTTTAAAGTCACATTATGTTTGCATTGTGGGTGGAGGTGTATTGCTTACTATTCGTATTACAGCAATAGGTGCTTGTTACAACTGAACGCAACCTTATGCCAGCTGCACTTGTAGGATATGAATTCCATAGGATAAGAGTCTTTATTTCCCAGATAGAAAATACAGTGCTGAGGAAGTGCAATCTGAGCAGCAGCAGTGAAAACCTTGAGGAAAGGTGCTTTTTCAAAGATGCCGCAGCCATACTTTTACTCCACATACTAAAAACTGAATCTCTGCAAAGGGCTTTAGACAGATGTGGAGTGGTCTAATTTTTTTAAGGTTGTAGTAGTATTACAAAGGAAGATAAATCAAGTAATAGCTTCAAAAATGCTTACTCAGTAGCTTGGTTGCTGAACAAAATTTGAAAATGGTGATTTTGAACTTGAAGAAATTAAATGCATGGATTGGATTAAGGAGGAGTCTCTGTGAAACATTCCATATCTAGGGGTGGTAGTTGGGGAGGGTGGAATGGGAAATGGTAACTTTGAGGTACCTTAGGGCTGGGCAGGCAACACACACGTTTTGTAAAACACCTGATTTTCATTCCAGCAAAATAACCAGGGGAAAAATTGTTTCTGAGGAAAGTTGCATATGTATCTGCAGAGAAAGGGAAAAGTAAAGCATTCATACTGCATACAGTATGTTAACAGCCTTCTGTCCTTTTGTCGCAGGAAACCCCCCCCCCAAATCATTCAGTTTGTACAAACTTGACACACACACACTCTCTCACACTCAAACACACTAAATACACTACGCTGATGTTATAAATTCATAGAAAATCAACCATACATCAGATCTGCACCGTTCCACTTTTATTTTACTCCAGGAAGGAAGGACTACAAAATGGGGAAGGTGTGATACAGGGCAGCCATAATCCCTTGAGCATACCAGCACATACACAGGAGCCCTTCCCAGTTGCTATTCCAACCCTGATGGCCCTAGACCAGGGGTCTGCAACCCGCAGCTCCGGAGCCGCATGTGGCTCTTTTACACCTTTGCCGTGGCTCCGGGGCGGATACTAGCGAGGGGAGGAGGCGCATTGTGTGCCCCAACACTCCCCACTGTGGCGGGCGCTGTACTGGCTGTGACGTTGCATGGGGGCGGTACGTGCGGGACGCACCGTCCCGACGTCACCTTCCCGCCCGCTGTCAGATCGCGGCTCCGGTGATATATTTGTTTTAAATGTCGCAATGGTTTTGCGGCTCCCAGTTTTTTTTTCTTCGGAAACGGGTCCAAGTGGCTCTTTTTGTCTTAAAGGTTGCAGACCCCTGCCCTAGACAGAAGATCATCAAGGTCACAAAGAACTTGCATATGGGAGTGGATTCAGCACGGACTGGAACAAAGGACAATGATCAGCTCTTCCCTCTGGGGGCAGGAAACTGCAAACTCCCCTTTGTCGCCTGGAAAGTACTCATGGGGAGGGGGGAAAGGAGGAACCAGCCAGGTGACAAGATACTCAGGTTACCTCCACATCTCCTCCCTCAACTCCTCCTTTTTGTGATGTAGTTGTGATGTAGTCTTAGGGGTGTAGTTTGGGGGATTAGTAACTAATAAAAGTTGGGGTCTTCTTTTGTTCGGGGCTTTCATTTTGCTTCATCTTGTGGTTGGTGGGAGTCCTGTTGCAACAGTTTCCAATAAAAGCCAAGCCTACAGGCTGCTGTTTTGCTCCAAATTGTCCTTGTTGGTGTCTTTGTTTTTTTGCCCAAGGGAGCCCTTGGATTCCTCCGTTAACAGTTTGGCGACCATGCTCAGGGACTCTTGGTTCTCCTGTGAAGGTGAGGGGGAAGATAGAGGGGATCGGGCGCCACTGGGCAACTTTAGCCCAGGGATCTTTTTTCCTCTCCCTGCCTCCTCTTTGTGGGCGGTAATCAATCGTCACCAGAAAGCTCAACAAGGGGAGCAAAGGCAAGGTCAAGCCAGCCAAAGAAAAGGATCCCGGGATCCACGAGGGATATTCGAGGACCTGAGTATGGTTTGAAATTAGTACATTGGGAGGAGGGTGGAAGGATAACATCTCCACGACAGCTGAACTTTTCTTTTTTTCTCTCCTCAACGCCTTCTCTCGGAGCATGGCCAGAAGGGTCGTGGAAGTCCTTTTCTCTCTCTCCCGATTCCCTTACTCTGAGCGTTGCCAAAGGGATCGTGGAAAATCTCTTTTTTTCTCTCCTCGACGCCTTCTCTTGGAGCGTGGCCAGAAGGGTCGTGGAAAATCTCTCTCTCTCCTGTCCCTAAAAAAATAAACCCTAAAAACAAATGAAGATGCACCTCTGCCATGATGACCCTTGTTGGGGATGACTCGTGTATGTGAGAATGCAAGGTCATTTGCTTCCTTTCAAACCTTTGTCTTCTCGGACCCCAATCCTGCATTGCACTGTGCAAGCGTCCAGTAGGGAATTCTGAACATAGTTCTAAGATCAGGCAGGAGGCTGTCATGGATAGTAGAGCAGGAGGTTTGGGAAGAAGACAGGGCCCCGCACTAGGATTAGTTTTGTGAGCAGCGCTGAGTGGATTCCAGATCCATGGTCTTTCCGGGTTAAGAGACCCGTGGTTTCCAGGCTAGTTGCCTGTGGTTTTAGTTGTAGGCAGGGATTGCCTTTGGATTTCTACTAGCCTTCTCCGGTCTGATCCATTGGAGTTTTGCCCAGAAAGGGCCAAGAGGGGCACTTGAGTGTTAGACTGAATAAAACTGATAGGATACTCTTTTCTCTTCCCCTCCCTGTTTGTCCCTCTCTTGTATCTGTTTATGTATCTCCTTGTGTAGCTTGTTATCGAGCAACCACCCCTCAGTATTAAAGGGAAATGGGAGCTCACTCTTCTAAACACCCTAGCTGGACTCCTCCTGGCAACAAAGCTTCCGTGAAGCCTTTTTGCCCCAGAGAGGATTCTGATACGCCCCTCCAGTTTGTCATCTCCAACTGGGGGGGGGGGATTTAAAGGGGCAAAATGGTCTTTCGAAGTCCAAATTGTGAGACCGTTGTAACTTTTTGTGGGTGGCTTAGGCCTACCACCTGAAACCCAGGGCAATGCGGCCACCTCAGGGATCCTTCAACAAAATCAGGGTGTGAACCCTTAGGGAGAGCTGAGCACATCAAATTTGTGTTGTTAAACTATAACCTAAAGCCAGAACATGAAACCGTAAACTTAATGGTGCTCAGAAGGCAGTAGATATAATAATAACCCAGCGTGAGAGCCCACGCATTAGAGATCTTAGTTTCTCTATAAATGAATAAGAGATGTACTCAAAGGTTTAGAAATATTTGAAGGGTTTGTGTTTACATTGGCTTCAGCATCCACAGACTATGTTCTTAAGTGCACATAGTTTTTAAATTACAAGCTTGCTTCAAAATTTTAATCTAGGGAAACCATGTTGGGTCTTATCAATCTTAAACATGACAAATATGAGAATGAGGTGTGCAAATGTTTGTTATTTGAGAGAGGCTCCAAAAGAGAGTCTTCCTCCAAGTGGTAGAAAGAAAAGAAAAGATTTTATTTTGCACGAATTTGGTTTTAGCTGCGACCGGTGGAACTTAACTCCGCGTAAGCTGCAGGCACGGTCTGTGCTCTCAGTCTAAAGGTACTGCGATGCGGAAAAGCAATCTTAACCACAAGTTCTTGATTAAGCATGAATAAATAGACAATAAATAAATATGGCCGTGTGTCTTGTGCCGAGGCGTTTCGTGCTGTTCCTGCCCTCCCAAGTTTCCAGGCAGGGATCTTACGCGAGGACATTTAAAATCAGGGACGTTGAGAGAGATGTGACCCTTCGCAGAATCCTCTGCGTACGAATTAAACCCAAAGCTCGAAGGTGTCCTTATTCGCCCCCTGAGCGGCCGTCCCGCCGATCAGCAACAGCGACAGCATCACCGCGGGCGGCGGGCGGAGCTTCCAAGCCCCGCCTCCCAGCGCGTCTTGCGGCTGTTTGACCCTCGCCAGCTTCCGTGCCGCGACGTGACGTCGAGGGCAGCCGCTTCGCCATTGGCGGATTCAATCGTCGCGGGCTACTTGAACGGCGAAAGCGGAGCGGGCCCGCAAGAGAACGAGAGCGAAGCCGCCGAGCGAGCGTCCGTTCAGAGCAGCTCGGCTCGAGGCTCCCCGGTTCTGCAGTCGCCGCCGCCGCCGCCGCGCTTATCGCCATGCTGACGGGAGCCGCCGCCGCCGCCGCCTCGCTGGCTCGGGAGAACCAGGAGAACGTGCCTCCGGGAGTCAAGGGCGACCCTCGGCTGGCGGGCGCTGCGCTGGGGACGCGGGTCGCTCTGGGGCTGCTGCAGTACAACCGGGAGCCCCTCGCCCAGCCGCAGGTAAAGGGCCGGAGGGGAAGGGGAGCCGTTTCCCGCGCCCCTGGGCCGGTCGGAGCTTCTCCAGACCCCGCATCCGCCATCTTAGAGCTCGGGGCAGAAAAGAGAAGGAGGCGGCGGAGAGGCTCCTTGCATTGGGGGGGGGGGAGAGGGGCGGGATGCCCCCCACCCCAGCCTCCGGGCGCCTACCTTGTTGCTGCTGCTGCTCTTGCAAGCGAGAGCTTTCGGGGCTCAGTGGCGGGAGAGGCGGCCGGCCGGCCCTCGAGGCTGCAGGGGGCGCTCCCCGCGGGCGGGTCCCAGGGAGGGCGCCAACTTGGGCAGCGCGCCCTGCCCTCGCCGATGGTTTCGGTGCACGATGTATGCGAGCATCGCCTCCCGCTTCGTTCCGAGGCGGCCGCGACCATGCAGCCACAGCGTGGCCTCTCATCATGGGGACACACCCGCAGGGCATCTTGGTTCACGCTACAGGTATATCCCACGCTTTCCCCAGGGAGGTTAGGGTACTCAACCTTCGCTTCTCTCCTGTGAGGTTGGGAAATAGCGACTGCACTCTTTCCTGCCT